TTTTAAGTGCACTCTTTTTGCAGATGATATTTCCCTAGTAGTACCTGAGTATACCAAAGATTTTTCTGAATACAAAGAAACACTTAACAGCACAATAGAAAACGTAGCAAGCTGGCTCAGTAAAAAAACAACCTCACAGCTAACATATCTAAAACTAAAATTATCCAGTTTAGGAACTACAATAGCAAAACTCAAAATTTAGAAATAAATTATCGCGGTCAAAAAGTTGAGGAAATCGATGAAACAAAGTTTTTAGGGATCTTCCTTGATAAACATTGTAATTGGAAAGTGCAGGTAAATAATGTTTGCAAACGTATCAACAGGTTCGTGTATGCTCTTAGAAAGATACGTAAACTCGCATCTGAGAAAACTGCACTATTAGCATACCATGGATACGTAGGCTCAATTTTGAGGTATGGAATTTTACTGTGGGGTAATTCGGTAGACATAAATAGAGCATTTATATCCCAAAAAAAGTGTATTCGGGCAATAAGTGGTATTAGTCCAATGGTGTCCTGTAGACAATTCTTTAAAAAATTTAAAGTGCTCCCGATAACATGCCTCTACATTTATGAAGTTGGGGTATTCGTTAAAAAACATGGTAGGTTATTCGAGAAAGTTAGCGAAACCAGAAAGTATTTGTCCAGAGACCCGAGTAAGTTGGTTCTTCCTATGATGTCGACTACTTTGTTTAAAAGGAACTGTTATTGTATGGCTATCCAAATATTTAACAAGCTACCTAAAACTGTAAGGGAACTACCACTGTGTAAATTTAAGAATGTGCTCAAGAAATGGCTTTTAGAGAAATGTTTCTATTCTATGGCCGAGTATATGGCTCATAAGGAAGAAACTGTTTAGGCTAGGTACCATAAATTCTTAATATTGTATTGTTAGTTTTTAAGACTTTAAATTGTTATTTGTTTTTAAGTTTTTCTTGTTGATAAATACCCTTTTTATTTATATTTGTATGCCGATGCTACGGCGAAACATGCAGAACTTATAAGAAATGTTACATCTATGTACCCCGTGTTTCATACAAATAAAGATTTCTTATTTCTTATTTCTTATTATTTCACAATCCTTATCCTCCCCCAATCCTAAGCCGCCGAAACCCTAATCCCCAAAAGCCTGCAATGTATTCGTAACTCCTCTTCTGACGGCGCCGATGGCTAACCATTGGGTAATCCAAAAACTCGTTTTGCCAGTCTTTCATATAAAATAAAAAAAACATGATAGCATGATAAAAATCAACACGAGTATAATGAAAAAAGGCCTCTCTCAAAAGTATGAATACACATTTTGGCTGACAACTAAAAAGGGGGTCGGTCATAATAATCTAAAGTTTATTTTTTAAAATGTGATTCAAAAAAAGAAACAAGCAAACTATAGTGGTATGAAAAACTTTAATAATACAGTAGAAGTACATAGATATACTTATGATGTATATATTTCACACGAGTATACACGAGTATTTTTCCGTGCGTTATGTAAATCTTATAGAGTACCTATGTATAGGGAATAAATAAATAAATACATAATTTATTCAACATAAGGCTTGATTACAATCTGTTCGCTCCGTCGTTTCCGCCTGTTGTATAGAAACTCGAGTAACAGTACCGTTGATGCTGAGAAGAATCCTGCGAAATAAAATAACATTTAAAATAATATTTTCTGTATTTACTAGAGGTCACCCGTGGGTCCATCCGCGTGGATGTTTATTACACATTCTCTAAATATTTTTAAAATTTTCTCTACGTAGTCCATACTTTTTCTCGACTTCCACAAATAATTCAAGACCAAATCAGTAAAGGCATTGTTGAGTTATATATAACATTACAACGAATGATTGAAGAAATGATTTTTATTATATATACATTTATTTAATAGTTTAAGTACACAGTTAGTAAGCCAAGAAGGATAATACAAAATTAGGTACAAAGGCACAGCTTATTGCTTCAGAAATCTCTTCCAGCAAACCCGCTATAGAAGAGTCAGAATAAATAGAAATCTAAGTACACATAGTACATATCAACGTTTAATAGTTGTGAAAATCGTGATAAAAGAGGAAAGTTCCTGCCTATTCAAAATTCAAATAATTACATAAGGGATATTGGCGTACAGTCAACAAATTTTCTTTGTAAATAAATATTACTTCGTTACAGAAACGGCAATGGTTGGAATTTTTTAACATAAATTCTTTATTTCAGTACCAAAAAATAGATCAGAATAAAAAATATAATTATTGCTTAAAATAAATAAATTGTTACCTACTTACCCCAAACAAATCTAAAATATTTAATTAAAATGATAATTGTAAGAAATTTGGCAAGATATGTCTATTGAGCTACTTTTTTTGTAATTGGAAGGAAGACATTCCATCCGTCCTTTTGACTAGTTTTAAGCTATCTTACTCAACATAAAAGTTCTTAAACAGAATCGTGCCAGATAGTTGATACCCTAAAATGAACAAACATATTGCCATTGTAAGGGCCACTGACACCCCGGGCGAAACTATATTGGCGTCCACTCAGGGAAGCAATATCAAGTGTATAGTTTTTTGCTGATCGTATTGATATCGTTAGAGTTACTCCTCGACCACAAACCCTAAAAAATCCATAAAAAATATGCATTTGCACAGAGTGTAGAGCACAGTTCTGAGGGTTTGCAACAAAAAAGGCAGGAGACCCCAACTTCAGGCCTTGGCGCCCTCCAGAATTTGTCACCCTGGGCCATCGCCCCATCACCCCCCCCCCCCCTTCTTACGCCGGCACTGAACAAACAAGGCAAAAACGAAAAAAATATATTGTAAAAACCGTATATTCACAAGAGAGACTATCCACAGGCCCTCATAAAGTTATAGTTGATAACACATTGTTCCTCTTAAATCTTAAATGACGGAGCCTCAGTGCTCGATAAATAAGAGGCCGGCGCCGTAAAATTGTGAAAACATCTCGATATCATGGTCATAACTTTTTGAAATACCAATTTATATTTCTCTTCTTTATTTACACTGTTTTTCTTGATTTTTTTATTGCATCTGATAGATATTTATATTTATTATCTTGTACGTATAATACAATAAATAAGTATGTAGAATACAGTCAAACAAATATGAATGCAAGACACGAAATATAAATACGAATGTAGACTATAGTCAAATGAAAAAGAATACACCGTGAAAATGTTGACTGGGAAAATGCCGGCCAAAACAACCCTTTGTGCAATCTACGAATTGTTGTTCCTGGTCTGGGTGTCATGTGTATATATTAAATTGTAGGTATGACCACTATAGGTAGCACCCATTAGGCCTGATGTTCATCATTACTAAAACATCATTTTCCCTCCTATCCTATCACAGGTATATCTTTTACTTAAAAGGAGGTCCCTATGTAAGATTAACTGTAAAAGTTTTGTACATGTTTCTGAAAGAAACTTTTTATTTTTATTTTATCATTTTTTGTGAGGGGAAAATCATCAAATGACATTGCGACAGGGCGGGGGGAGTGTCAGACTCTTACTGACTAAAAACCCCCGCGTTCCTACTCCTGCTGAAGGCCGAGGCCGCAGTAACTTATTGCGCTTGCTCCACAACCCCGGCTGAACATCAGTCCTATAGGGCCCCGTCTATGGTGGACTATGACTATGAGGCCCGCGCGGAACGCTACGCACCGTACGCACGGGTCTGCTTCTGGTCGGGCAGCGAGCTAAGCTTACTCGCCGTCCGTAGACCCGCGCTGACGATGGCCGGAGATTGTCTCTCTAACGATTGAGGGTACAAACGCAATTAAGTATCACGGCGAGAAAGAACAAGGTGGTTTTTAATCTGTAATAGTATGACACTCCCTCTCGCCCCAAATCTGATTATTTCCCTACTCAAATAAAAAAAAATCGAAGAAGTTATTACAATTGCTCATCATCATCATCAGCCTTTAAGTGCCCACTGCTGACCAAAGGCCTCTTCTCATATGGAGAAGGTTTGAGCATTAATCACCACGCTTGCTCAAGGGTTGGCGATTTCAACTTATGTTTAGAAATTATAAGTCCAGGTTTCCTCACGATGTTTACCTTCACCGTACGTCAGTCAGTGGTGTCTAAATAATCATAGAAAGTACATATAACTCGTAAAAAGTCACATTGGTACTTGCCAGGTTTCGAACCTACACCCTCAAGCATGAGAAGCGGGCTCCTTAACCTCCGGGCCACCACGATTACCTTAACTACTTAGCTTTAACTTAAGTAAGTCATTTAGTCTAGGCATAAATTCAAATGAACTAGGTAGGTAAGTACTTACTTAAGAACTCTTGCATGTTATTGATTGTACAAGTAAGTATATATGTAGGTATGTATTACATAACCCACTTCATGTATTCCTTGATTAAACAATAACATTACAATATACATAAATTAGAAGCGTAGCATTCCCACATTAGTTCTGCTTCTGGTTATATAATCTATCTATACCTAGTAGGTATATTAAATAAATACCAAAATGTATTGGTAAGCACATAACTCAATAAAGCCTGGACCAATTCTGTATACGCGAGTATTTTTCCAAAATTTAAGAAAATTTTATAAAATTTAAGGAAAGTAGTGGTTAATTGATAAAAAGCAGCCTTTTGTCATTAGGTACCTCGTTAACTACATAGGACACCTGAATGGAACAGCGGACCACTAGTTCCATACATATACGTATTACATAAACATACATAAATAACCATCGAAATCGCCAACCCGCACGGAGCAAGCATGGCGATTATTGCTCAAAACCTTCTCCGTGTGAGAAAAGTGAGAAAAGGCCTTTGCTCAGCAGCGGGCACTTATGGTCTGATGATGATGATGATAATATATAGGTATATTTATATATATAGACACATGATTTAGTCAGGTACCTAGATTTGAGTGACTTAGTTTATGTCAACTTATCGCCTTTTTTTAGATGTAACATCAATTGACTTCTGCCACCCTGGGTAAGGTTTCAGACTCTTATTATTCCCCCATTCCTACTCCAAGTCGAGGGGCCGCGGGACTTTATGACCTTTAGCTAGGTATACCTCGTGTAGGAGAGCCACGCTTCGGTACGAATGGGGCGGCTCGAAGAGAGTGATACCATGTCCTTGACGCTTAACGTTTCTTTTGCCATAAGAAACCAATGCTGTACTATAAGAATTATCTATTACAGAAGGGTTTACTATTGTTTCACGCTTGGTTGAGTTGGAGATAGCAGCCTAAAAGATCACATCATCAGCCTATAAGTGCCCACAGCTGAGCAATGGCCGCTTCTCACAAGGAGAAGGTTCATATTACCAAAATGTTCATATCTCTGGTCTCTGATAAATATCTATAGGAGTCGTAGTAACTCTGAAATTGATCTATCAAGAGGTCAAGGTGTCCCTTATAGGAGTTGATGATACCTCCCCGGTGGCCATCATCAAATCAATCAACTCAGAATACAGAACAAACCAGAAGGCGTCATCGCGCTTCAAACTTAAGCAACTAAAACCATTCTCAACTAGAATAGTATGAAATTTCTACGATTAGTCAATTTTGGCACGTGGCATGTCGTGACGTATTTACGAGTATCAATTTTAATTTCATTATGCCGTCTTGTGTTATTACTACGAGTAAAAATGCGACTGGAATTACGAAAAAAGTGGATAAGATTACATTTCATCTGCAAGCATCGACTGCAATAGTATATTTAATTAATTATTGAATTTTTGTTATCGATTTATTTTTCTATGAAAATGATGCGGCCATTTTGTGAGTGTTGTCATTTTTGGTGAAAATTTTAGCCACTTATTTATTTGTTGTGGGTTATATTTTTGTCCATTATGGAGCCTATGTCATATTAGTTTCCCTGACAAAAAAATAAATACAAATCATACAAAGGGCACGGTTAGATTAATTTTGGAAACCATCTAGCCAGAGCATAGTTTGCTCAATTCACTTTGAAGAGATATATTTATGACAAAGATGGTTTGAAAACAGCATATCCTACTCAGATATATCTATACTAATTATAATGCTGAAGAGTTTGTTTGTTTGTTTGCTAGAATGCGCTTATCTCAGGAACTAAGTAAAGTAAGTAGACTTCTAATCTTTAGTTCCGAGTCTAAAGACAATACATATAAAAAACTAAACCAGCAAAATTACATACATGTGCAAACTTGCAGCACAGCCAAAGAAGTATGGGAGACTCTGCAACAAGCATTTGATGACAACGGATTAACTAGAAAAGTTGGGCTGTTGAAAGATTTAGTGAACAGTACTCTGGAATCTAGCGGTAATGTAGAATCATACATTCACAAAATAATGACCACAGCCCATAAGTTACGGAATATAGGGTTTGAAGTCAACGACGAGTGGCTGGGTACATTGATGCTGGCCGGTCTGCCTGACGTCTACGCTCCGATGATTATGGGACTTGAGAGCTCTGGCGCGAAGATTAGTGCCGATCTTATCAAGACCAAGCTACTTCAAGAAGTTAGATCAGCAGATACCAGTACCGCTTTGTATGTTGGTTCAAAATCAAGGAAACAACATAGTCGGCCACAACAACCAAAGACGAAAGGGCCAAGATGCTACAAATGCAATAATTATGGACACTTCGCGAAGTTTTGTACGAGCACTAAAAAGACAACTGTGCATGAAAAAGGAAAAAAGGATACAGGTTTTATCGCAGCTTTTTCAGCCTTTTCAGGTGCTCAGTGTAATAAATGGTTCATTGACTCGGGTGCATCCATGCATATGACCGGTAACAGGCAGGGATTGTACAATGTCACGGAACCACCGGTAAAGAAAATTACAGTAGCCAACCAGGAGCCGCTGTCAGTAAAAGGAGTTGGATACACTGACATCGAACTAGCACAGGGTAAGAAGATTCAGTTAAAAAATGTTTTATATGTTCCTGGTTTGGCCGTGAATTTGCTCTCAGTGAGTACAATTGTTAACAGTGGTTATAAAGTAACATTTACTCAAAGAGGTTGTGATGTTCATGATTCACATAGAAAACTGATATGTTCAGCAACTTTAAATAATAAACTGTATATATTGGATACTGGGAATAGTCCTGAAATTGCAAATTTAAGTTTCAGTGAGGAGAAGTGTAGTGACACTTACTTATGGCACCTGCGTATGGGCCATTTGAATGTTTCAGATGTCAACAGACTACCCAACAGTGTCAGGGGTGTGACTCTTACCAACACTGAGAGTAATGTGACAAGGTGTGTCTCTTGCTGTGAAGGCAAGCAGTCTAGATTACCATTCAAGAATCTTGGTTCTCGAGCCTCAGGACCTTTACAACTTGTTCACTCTGACCTCTGTGGACCCATAGAGAACTTGAGTTGCTCAGGTATGAAGTACTGTATCACTTTCATCGATGATTATACAAGAATGGTGTTTGTTTACTTCATGGAAAATAAAACCAAAGTATTGGATGTTTTCAAGGACTATAAAAACAAAGCAGAAAACCATTGTTCTCAGAAAATAAAGATTTTAAGAACAGATAATGGTACTGAGTACTGTAATACTCACTTTGAGAATTTCTTATCCAACAGCGGTATAGTACATCAGACCTCCACTCCCTACACCCCCCAACACAATGGACTGGCTGAACGGATGAATCGGTCATTAGTTGAGAAAGCTAGGTGCATGCTGTTTCATGCCAATCTACAGAAGAAACTATGGGCCGAGGCAGTGGGGACCGCAGCATATATTTTAAACCGATTTCCTAATAAGGCTTTACAGGGTAAGACACCCTTTGAAATGTGGAATGGATACAAACCAGACCTGTCCCATCTGAGAATATTTGGCTCGGAGGCTATGGTCTTTGTACCAAAGGAAAAACGGCAGAAGTGGGACAAAAAGTCAAAAAGGATGATTTTAGTGGGATACTGTGACAATACAAAAGGATATCGCTTACTAGATGAAAAAACATATCAAATTATAAAAAGCAGGGATATCACCTTCTTTGAGAATAAAAGTTCTAATTTGAAAGTAACTAATGATGTTTCAGATTCATCTAGTAACTATCAAGCTTCACAAATGAAGACACAGCCACCAGGGAATCATTCTACTTCTGCAAGTCACAACAGTAATGTCCCGGCACCTACAGAGATATCCTTGACTGAAGAAGAAAAGCTCACCTTACCATTGGATCAAGAAACTACTGGTGATTGTGTAACGAATGAGAGTTGTGATCAGGATTCTAGCGAGTATGAGACGGATGCAGGAGATTCAGATGAAACATATGTCCCACCAAGATACAAACACTCACAGACCCAGCAGAGAAATCACGCTGAGACCTCGTAACAGAACTCAAAGGAATATCATAGATGGAGATGAAAACAGTATGTATTGTTTACTTTCAAGTTTTTGTGATCCGCAGACAGTTGAGGAGGCACTTTCATCATCTTACGCCAAACAGTGGAAAATAGCAATGGACGAGGAAAAGAAGGACTTACCTTCGGGTAGAAAGGTTTTGCCATGCAAGTGGGTCTATAAAACTAAAACTGACCAAAGTGGTAATATAATACGATTTAAAGCCAGGCTTGTGATTAAAGGGTATGCCCAGAGAAAGGGCACTGACTACGAGGAAGTGTTCTCACCTGTTGTAAAGTACACTACCATAAGGTACTTGATATCACTAGCCGCAAGATTGGGGCTTGAGATTGACCAACTGGATGCAGTATCAGCATTTTTACAAGGTGACATTGATGTTGACATTTACAAGAAGCAACCAGAGCTGTATGAACAAGGGCCTCAAGTGTGTCACTTGAATAAATCCATATATGGATTAAAACAGGCTAGCAGGTTGTGGAATTCAAAATTAAACCTTGTGCTGCAGGAGATGGGACTGAAACGTTCAAAGTCTGACCCATGTGTCTATTTCAATCCAGATAAGAATACCTACATTGCTGTGTGGGTAGATGACCTCATTTTATTTACTTCAAATAACGTGGAAAGAGACAAGATTAAACACAGGCTTATGCAACACCTCGAGATGAAGGACCTGGGTAAGGCTAGTCAGTGTGTAGGCCTGAACTTAACCAGGGATGGAGACACTATTATGATTGACCAAGAAAAATATATTAAAAGTGTACTTACTAAGTTTGGTATGTCTGACTGCAAATCATGCAAAACACCTATAGAAGTGGGCCTGAAGTTTGCTCAGAGAGCTGATGACAAGGAAGTAGACTACCCTTATCAACAGGCTATAGGCTGTCTTCTCTACATTGCTCAAGGTACAAGGCCTGACATTTCTTTTGCCGTCAATACTCTCAGTAGGTTCAATAAAGAACCAAGAGCAGAACACTGGACAGCAGTCAAAAGAGTACTACGATATTTACAGGGAACTAAAGATCTGAAGCTCACCTATACCAAAGATGATCAACCAAATCTTAGAGGCTTCTGTGATGCAGACTGGGCCAGCGATAATATCGACCGAAAGTCCTGCACGGGCTATGTTTTTATTTCTCAGGGAGGCGCGGTGTCCTGGTGCTCCAGGAGACAACAAACGGTGGCTTTGTCAACCGCCGAGGCGGAGTACATGGCCATGTCATCAGCAGCGCAGGAGGCCCTGTGGCTGCGACAGCTGCAGATCGAGATCGGCCAGCCTTCAAATGGACCGCTTTGCATATTTAGTGACAATCAAAGTGCTATAAAATTGTCTGCCAATGATTGTTATTTACCCCGTTCAAAACATATTGATATAAGATATAATTTTTTGAGAGAGCATGTAAATAATTTAGAGATAAAATTTAATTATTGTAGAGGCGATAATATGATTGCAGATATACTAACTAAGGGTACCACTGAGCATAAAAACTTATATTGTATAGCAAAAATGGGTTTGCGTTCAGGGGTGGATGTTAGAAATAGAACGCAATCAAATAAGTAGTTCGCATTTTTGCCGCTGTGTGGCGTTCTCACTTCTTTTGTTTTTTTTTTTGACTTTTTGACACACGTTTGTAACGCTTACGTCTTAAGAAATAAATTACACAATATTTAAAGTTAATACTTGCTTTATTCAATAATTCCTACACAATAAAACCTTTATACTTATTGAAGCTTTATTTTATTTGTTGTTTAAAGTAGGTGTAACTAAAATTAACACAGGCAGAAATCGTCAACTTTTTAACCGACTTCAAAAAAAGGAGGAGGTTCTCAATTCGATTGTATTTTTTTTTTTTTTTTTTTTTTTATTTTTTTTTTTTATGTTTGTTACCTCAGAACTCCGTCGTTTATGGACGGATTTGCAAAATTTTTTTTATGATTGAAAGGATATGCTTCCAGATTGGTCCCATTCTTTTCAAAATCAAGTTTTGATGATGGGATCCATGAGAAATCGAGGGAACTCCTCAAATATTATAGGCAACTATATAGTAATTTTAATATTTTCATAGAGCACTCAAGCATTTACAGTCAAAAAGTAATGTTTGATGAGGTGGAACTGGTGAAGAAGATCAGAAATGGATGATGAAACTTGACACTCGCATAGATATCACAATCAAGGTAGTTCAGCAACTATGAAAATGCACTGTAAACCAATGATCTTAAATAATTATGTTGGAAATGTTATCATCGAACTGATTTAATGATGATTATGGAGCTGGAAGGTAGGCACTGGAACTGCGTACCTAATTAATATATCCTAGCCGTGTTTGGGCTTGTTAGAATTGTTATAAGATGCACTTTGGCTGTAAGGTACTATTGAACTGATGTGATGATGAAGCTGGAAGGTTGGCATGGGGCCTAGTATTGTGTAAGCTTATTAGAGCTGTCAAGAGCAATGGAAAGGGCTATGCTCATAGTTTCCGTGCATGTTCGAATCAGAAATGAAGAAATCCGCAGAAGAACCAGCGTCACCGACATAGCCCGAAGAAATGCCAAACTTAAGTGACAGTGGGCACGGCACATTGCTCGTAGAACAGATGGCCGATGGGGCCGAAAGGTTCTAGAGCGGGACCGCACACCTTTGGGGGCGGAGTTTGGCCTAGTATTGGCTATTTTGCATTAGTCCACGTGGACTGCGTTTACACATTAGTGGTGAAATGCGTCATTGTGTTCTTATCGTTTTCCTGGTAATAGGCTAAGAGAATTAATTGGCATTTTTAACAAAACAGTCGTTTTAAATGGGTTACAAAACAATAATTGCGTCGTACAAAACAATAATTGTGTTTCTTTTGTGTGCACATATGTAGATAATACTTACTTAAAAAAGGTTCATACATTGAATGAGTCATAAATGTATATTTACAATAGCGATGGTCTTTTATATTTTTACCAACTTGTCTATATATGAATGTTCTTAGTAATAACAAAATAGTATTCTTCATTTAATGGGTTACAATTGATACAAAACAATAATTGCATCGGTCTTTTTTCTATGTACGAATGTATTTAATCATAGATACTAAATTAGATTGCATTTGGTATCTTTGAACTTTATCTGTCTGTTGATGAAAATATCTAGTTTTTTGTTATTTGGCGAGAACTAATATGAATTTATGATAAGATTATTATTTTATTTTAACTATAAGTCATAAGTATCTCATGCATCATATCATCTCTCCTCGAGATCAAAACGATTACACAGTAACAATGTACTATGATATGTATTTCTACGTATAAGTATGACATTGGTAACTTTTTCAAAAGAAATGTAGGAACGATATTGACTTCTTTGCCATAACACATTATAATAAATAAAAAAAAAACACTAAACGGCTACAAATAAAAAAAAATTTTACAAAATAAAAAAACCGCCTTCAAAAAAAGTCAAGCAATAAAAGTTCCTACACTAAAAAGTAAAAAATAACAATTTGAATTACTGTAAAAAAACTTAATTTATAGGTAAACTTATTTGACATTAATATTTTGCAAATATTCAAAATTTATTACTTATTTTTGGAGTCGGTGCCAGCCCATGCAAGGAAATACAAATGGGCAACAATCCCTTGAAAAACTACCTCTTACTTAATTATAAAACTACTTAATACCTATTTGCATACTCAAATATAGGTATATTAATTAAGACATAAATACAGATTAGACTTCTCTACAAAAAATGTCCGATTTGCACATTTTTTTAAATAAAAAATATGTACTTACAAAAACATTTTAAGTACATTGAAAATGTTTAAGCATTATGTACGAAAAATGGCACCGGATATTAAAAACCTAACTAACATTAAGTTTCAACATCAAAATGCTGGCACCGACTCCAAAAATAAGTAATAAATTTTGAATATTTGCAAAATATTAATGTCAAATAAGTTTACCTATAAATTAAGTTTTTTTACAGTAATTCAAATTGTTATTTTTTACTTTTTAGTGTAGGAACTTTTATTGCTTGACTTTTTTTGAAGGCGGTTTTTTTATTTTGTAAAATTTTTTTTTTATGATACCTCTATGAAATGTGTGAACAACTAGTCTGTTGCATTTATCGTAAGTTTACCTATTTTGTTGGGTTTACTCGTATCTTACCCTCCTGTAGTAAAATTACCCCAAACCAAGGGAATTGTTCCACTGTCGGCAACACTACGCGGGTGGGAAGTGCGGCTGGCGGGGGATTGACGTAGTTTTTGGACACAGTTGACGACATGTAATTATGAGTGAACGCGGATTCTGGTTTGTTCTGTATTCTGAGTCAATCAATCAATCAAAGTGAGGTAAAAATCTCACACTCCCTAGTCATTTTCTCCAAAAGCTAGGCGCCTTTTGAAGGTTTCCCCCCGTAAACAAAAAATAAAATGGGTACTCGTAGTAAAATAATAGGTCCTTACTTATGAAATTACCGTTTTGCAAAAAAAATTTAAAAGATTTTTTTTATTTGAAATGCGATGAAAATGTAACACTAATCAATAAAGAAATGACTACTTTTGGAAAAAGAATCTAATGTTTTTAAAACAAAATTAATTAGCCTTAGACTAACAAAAACTATTTTGATTTCAAATGGCCAGTACTGCAGAACGGCAATTTCATAGGTAAAGACCTATTAGATCTTTTGATATGGACTCAAAATTAAAGTTGAAGGGGAAAAAAATCGGTCGTTGATTTGATTAATGAAATCGCTATGGACGTAAGCAGAAGAATTCTTTAGCAATAGCTAAACTTTTTTGACGTCATCTTATGTCATTCGCTGACCGCGTGTTCAAGCCATGAGATTTGTTGCCAAAGGTCAGGAATCCATTAATATTCATAAAAGAAATATATAAACTAAACTTAGAGAAAGGCTGTTTAATATTCTTAGCAAAAATATTGCGTAAATAGTAATTAGTGAGTATTTATTCATTTGTTATCATAATATTGTCTTAACTCCGCTCATAGGAATACAACGGTTCCTATACCCAGATCAAAATATAAAAATAATCCAGGCTTTAGGTGAATTTTTCGGTCATCTACAATCCAAACTTCAAAACTAATATTATAAATGCGAAAGTAACTCTGTCTGTCTGTCTTTTCTTCACGCCTAAATTACTGAACCGATTTCTCTGATAGGAAAATGCCACGGGATGGTTTCTCACTATGTTTTCCTTCACCGTATGTCAGTGGTGTCTAAATAATTGTAGAAAGTACATATAACTCGGAAAAAGTCACATTGATTTCGAACCTGCACCCTAATGCATGAAAATAGTGCCTTGACCTCTGGTCCACCTTGTCATATTTGCATCATAATATACCACTAGTCTTAACAAGTTCGGCGCCAGGGCAATTTTTGGAAAAGCTATGGTGTATCATTAAGGATACACATGGCGCTGAGCGTCAAAAATATAATTTTTCTTACCCATGAACAGCACGAAGAAGGATCCTTGCATGTCATTGAGGTTAACAGTGTGGTTGTTCACCTCCTGCATCATGGACGAAGACTTCCAGCAACGGTCCTTCTTCGGAAGGTATGCTTCCAACCAGCGCATTATCAGACCCGCTTTGTGCATACGATCTAACCTAAATAAGAAATAATATAGTACATATTTTTTTATTACTAGACATGAACATAATGGATTACCATTCAGAGTCATTTTATGGTAACCGCGGGTTGCGGGTCAATCGCAATTAGGTACCATGTCCTTGGCTTGGAGCAGGAGAAGAACGGGGACTTATCGCCAAAAGGTCGGGAACACACTAGTAACTCCTCCATTGTGGCGCTGATTCCTTACCATCAGGTAATCCGTCTGCTCGTTTGCCGTATTATAAAAAACCCTCATTAAACCTTCGGACCACCATGAAAATGAAAGAAAGTTTTTTTTTCAAGAAGCATTGCCCCACACTGGGATTTTCTCCTGTGACGTGGGTGCGTTTTCAAACATACAATTACACATACATACCACACCAAGACCTGAAACAACAATTTGTGGATCACACAAAGTGTTGTTCCGTGTGGGAATAGAACCCGTGACATGTTGCACAACAGCCAGTTGCCCAGCCATTGCGCCAACCGTACAGTCAAAGGTATACCTACCTACTGTGACAATATTTTAACATCATGCAGAAGCAACACACAATATTACAAGCTTCAAGTCAGAAAAAGTATTAAAACAATATCTCACACACTTCACGCTAGACTTACTCTTTGTTAATAACCGGGAGGTAGGGACTGCCTGCCGGCACTATCATTGCAACTTTCTCATCCAGAAACTCTTCAGTGCCTGAAAATTATTTCTATTGTTACATATTTCTTGCTTCCTACATTTCCACTTGACAGATTATTAAAATAAAATGTTTTTAAGAAATAATTTTATGTATGTTGTTGTTATTAATGTGAGAGAGCTATGCTTCGGCACAAATAGGTCGGCTTGACCTAAGCGCAACCACGGCTTCACATAAAATATTACAGCGTTGTGTTTAGTGTGGTTACCTTAGGCTAATTCCCTACCATCCGCCACCCTTCCTTTCCGTTCAAAGTCTCCATGAGTGGCGAAGATTGCTTACCATTTAATGTTACTTTTCTTTTTTTTATGAAATTGTTGATTTACACCTGTGTCGTAGTTGCGTTGACAAACATACAATTTCACATACACAAGCCACCCAGACCCGAAATAACAATTTGTGGATCACAAAAAGTGTTGTTCCGTGCGGGAATCGCAACCGCTACAAGTTGCACAGCCCCTAGTCGCCCAGCCACTGAAGACACACGCCAACCGTGCTTTATTATTGGTCACCACTCCTTAACTCGACTAAACCACATAAAGAAAGGAAGAAGGAGAAGGAAAGAGGAATAAAAAATATAAAGACAAAGTCATAATTTTTTTTTTCAATAATAAATAAAATTAATCATAAAAAATTAAATAAACGAAATAAAGTACTATGGACTCGGCCTTAATCAGGACAAGGAACGGGTTGGTTTTAGTCAGAATATGAGTCTGACACTCTCTCTCGCCCCATCGTAGACTAGAGAAGTTATTAGATAATTTTGCCCCCTTAACGAAAAAAGATACCTACTTAGAGCAAAGTCGCAGTTATCATCCTCCAACCGGTCTGCCCTCATCATGTAGCTCAGCCGAAGCTTCCAGTCGATAATCACGTGGCGGTGGAAACGTACCCGCTGCAGCAATGACGAGCCTGAGAATTAAGGCTTAATGATTAATAGATTAATGATTAATAGGTTAATAGACTTAGGACTAAGTTTTTCAATAGACAGATAAATGTTATCTGAGGAATAAAACTGTTGATGTCACTGTATTATACAAACATTCTGACGCGACAACATCATAATTACGTATTCTGTTGTACTCTGGGTGAATTCACAAAGAAAGCTTTGTTTGTAACCAGTTACAGGTATTAGTTATAAGTACTTAATAATTTAATTAAATTAAGTATTAGTTAAGGCTCATTTACCGCTGGTTAGCTGTAATGGTAAATGTAAGTACGTTGATAAATAAATAATTATTCCCCAGGTAACTTTTATCTAACCATTGAAAAATCAGTCCTTAGTATTATTTTTAACTTTATGATTTTTTTCAATCATCATTTTAATCATCAATTAAACGTTATATTTGCATAAAGGTATGCAAATATAACGTTTAATTCAGTCAGTTATGATAATATTGTTGAATGTTTTATTTTGCAAATAGTTTATTTACAACGCAATACTTTTACACGTCAACAATTAAATTTACTAACGACGGCGCCGGCATTTTCTTTCATTCTAACTCGAAATTCGAATTTGAATAAGAATATGGCCCTTTTTAATGTCCAGACAAACAAATTTAATATATGGGAAAACCGTGAATAAGTTAATTCTGTAATGGACATTTGAGGAAATAATTACAACAGTTTGCTGGATTCGCTCTGGTGGCAAGCACGCGTTGTTAATAAAGACTTAAATTAGTTCCAAAACTAAAGGCCTGTCTTTAACGATACCACTGAATGCCAATCCTTACCCGATGACATGGTTCCTGACTTCCCGTCCGTCGGTGATACCAACTCCGCGCCTTTCAACAATGCTAAATACTTTGGCTCATCCGAATTCTATAAAAAAATATATTACGCTAATTTGAATTAAGAATAGAAACTATGAAAATGGAACATTATTTTAGTTCGATTATATGTATAATTTCAAAGCATTTCTTTTTTCAAATTCTTAGAATGAATGGAGTTCGGAATGCACCACGCGTTAGTCGCGTGGTGAGAGCGTGATAGGAGTTCAAAAATGATCACGTTAAGACATCGTGATCGGGAACTGGCTTTGACCTTACTTGAACCGAAGATCACAGCTAAACTGGACACTTCTATAGCTCTTTAGGTAAAAAACTTTTATCTTAATGCTTTTTTTAAATATCACATGTAAATTGAAGTTTAACGTCCAGTCCATTTTTAAATAAAGAAAAAGTTAATTTTTTTTTCAATATCAACCATTGCCCTTTATTTCTCCGTGCTTGTAAAAGAAGTACACACTAAATTTTTGTGAAACTTTAAGAAAACAATGGCAAAGTTGGGGTGACAAAAAAAGAACTTTTGCCTTACATGTAAAAAGTATCAAGGTGTCAAATAGTTTAATCTGATACCTTTAATTCCATTTCCAAATAAGATCCCTTATTGATCGACCAAGTGTAAAGAGCTCGGTTAGCTAAAAGATCAGATATTGTCGTAACAGGAACTTCTTGCTTGGGAAACGTGAGGAAAGCCACCAAGTTACCGGAGTACGTGGTTACTACCACTAGTACCACCAACCACCATGTCCCTACCACTAGACGGCCGCTGTCAGCTCGAGGAAGATACATTCCACCTAGAAAAACATTGTATGAAGTTGAGTCCTTGTAGCTTTATGGAGAGTTTACTTTTTTGAAAAAAGAAATGTCTGTACCCTATTCATGTCTCTTCAAAAAGTCATATGTAATATAATAAAACGGATACAAATTGCATACTTTCACCCTTCATAAGTATTTTTGACATACTTAATTTGAAAACATTTAACTTTATTTCTCGGAACCTCTTTATAGTTTCAAATTACATCAGTTTTTTTTTTGAAAAATTAAGCATCAACAGTCGTTGAAGAAGAAAATAAAAACTACTAATACTTTTCTTAAAAATATTTTATGGCCAGCAAATCAACTTCTGAAGTGTTTATGCCAGTGTAGTACTGCCATAAACTCTAAAGAATATCAAAAAATTACCTTTTCATTTGGGCGTAACTTTGTTAATTATAGTCCCTGACTTGATCCCTGACTTGATCTTTTTCATTATAAGAAAATGAAACCTTTTCTAAAAGGATTTAATATTTCTTTTACGTTTTTTATAAATATAAAATCATCATCATGGTAAAATAGACAGTAGATGACCATTTTATTATTTATTTGAAACACATATTATTATACACTGTTATAAATTTTTTGGACCTTCTAAAATACAAAGTTAAATATTTTTAATGCGTGTATTTTTTTAAACTCAATTACTAAAATCAATAGTCACACGACTCTTAAACTATAGGTACCTAAATATTACGATATTATCACGAAATAACCATACATTTTTCGACGTTATTTATTAATATGAAACATTTTAATAACTTCATTTATTTTGATTTCTTTTTTGCTTTAAATAATATCAGGCAAATCATATACAAAAAAATGCGCTGTCATTAAGAAAAGAAAAAAACCTAACTTTCTCATAAATATTTTATGGCTGTTGAACCAGTGGTGGCCATTATTGCCACCATAATTATTAGAAAAAGGGGTTAATTTAATAAAGTATCTCCTTGAATTTTATCAAAATAACAAAAAAATACCTTGTTGCAACAAAGCTCCATAGATATACCAGAGACAATTGTGTATTGTAGCAAGTCCTCCTTGGCGAGTTATCTCCATGGCTTCGTAATAGGGGCTCATTCTATGAATAATATACAGCGTAGGTCCCATTAGGATAACAGCTAAACCGAGACATAGCCAAGTCTAGAAAAAAATAAACATTATATAGATAAAAATAATAATTAAGCCAATAAAATCTACAATGACTGTACTTACGTCTGTTGTGAATGGTAGTAAAAATAATAATGCTCTGCTGAGCTCCCGAGGGCGAGCGATTAAGAAGGCGTAAGATTGAATACTGACTGGTATAGTATAATTCACACCTGAAGAAAAAAGGATCTATATAAATAAAACAATAACCAATATTATCGAAAAACGCGCATCATTATTTGAATGGATCCGTCCTCCATATTGGTTATTATTTTACTGTAAAGAATTCTATATTCGAATAGCAATCCGACAAAACTTTATCTTATTGTGTGTGATATGGCGGCAAACAAGCAGACTGATTACGTAATGGTAAGCAATCTGCACCATCTACGGCCACCCGAAACACCAGACGACTTGTAAGTACGTTGATAGCATTTTGATAATAAGTGGTTTATGTGTTTCAAGTATAAGGGAAGAATGGGGCGAAGGATTGCCTCCAGTAACCTCACTCACATGGCGAAACAAAACGCTATGTTCTTTTGGCGCCGGTTCTTTGTGAGGCCGTGAATATCGCCAGTTTTTAATTAGACAAAAAATACTTAAACTTGATTAAATTAACAATGGCTGTTAATTGTTTTGTTTTATGTGTTGGACACTAAATCGTTACCATTATGAAAAGTGAATAACCTGCAGTATTATCATACATAATTATATAGATAGGTTAATTTGTAAAAAGAAAAAAACAAATGTTTAATTTGGTATCTAGGTAGACACGTTTTTTGTAGCACGTGATATCAAACCGAAAACAGAATTTCACGTGTTACATGTGAATTCACACAATTAGCATTGAATTAAATAAAATACAGCCACTTTTACTGTTCCATTACTCATTTAAATATTAAAAAAAAAACATATTAAGTATATTATACGTTCTTTTATTCTTCGTTTTGAATATTATTAATATAAAAGTAAGTAAAGTATGTAAGTGAAAAAGATTATAAGGTTTTTTTCATTCATACGAGCTGTACGTCAATTTAAATTTTTCTGCAATTCGTTTAATCGAACGGCTAAAGAGGTTTACCTGATAGTAAGCAATCGTCGTCGCCCATAAACAATACTACACGAGTGCCATGCTGACCTTTTTGCGGATAAGTTTGGAAGCTTTAGGGATTGGGGAAGGGGAAAGATTGGGCTTTCAGTAACTTCACTCACACGGTGATACAACGCTGTGGTTGTTTTACGCCGGTTTTCTGTGAGGCCGTAGTGTCACTCTTATGAGCTGATCCAAGCATGGCTCTCCCACACCTACTTTTTTTAATGACACACTAAAACATTTTGTCGAAAATGTGTCTACTAATTTAAATCTACATTCGGCAGGGTTATCTATACTGTAATATTATAAAGAGGTAAAATTTGTAAGTTTGTATGTAGGAGGTAATCTTTGGAATCGCTGGTCGTATTTCCAAAATTCCTTTACTGATAGATAGCTACAATATTCCTCAGTGCCATAGGCTATAAATCATCACGCTACGATTAAATGGAGCCGAGTAGCGGTTGAAACCGCGCTAGAGCAGCTTGTCGTGTTAGACTTACAAAAAAAAAATGTTTTGCTATTATATTCAGAAGAGCTGAAGATCGGGCTTAGTGTGTGGAGAGACGTATGTTTAACAGTGGACAGAATTAGGCTGCTGCTGATGATGGTGATGATGAAGATAATTGTATCGATATCAGATTTTCTGTTAATTTGTTACCTGGTACAGGATCAGCTAAAACTGTAAAGGAGGCAGCAGCTAATGCGCCCTGGCCTTTTGCAATGGCGGATATCGTCAGCTTAGCTTCCATGCTATGCATCATCTGAAAAGAATATTTATATTTTTTAAATCATAAAAACACAATAAATTGATAAAATATTGTTTCACACAAAGATTTTCTATGGGTGCGTTTACTCGCAATTAATAAAATGCAATGGTTACAATTCCTAATCACAAATGAAAGAAACTTTTTATTGTAGGTATTAACAGCTAAATAAAAACAACAAATTAAACAAATCAGTTTTAGTATACAAAGAAACAGTTGTGAAAATTATGTTTTATAAGATAAACTTAAATTTAATTTTAACTTTTAATTTCTTAAACCGTTCACTTCAAAAACTAAATAATAAACTTACATCAGTAGTTGTGTCATTGGATAACTCTTTCTTGAGAACCGAAGCTAATATTACTTTAACACTGAAAAAAAAAGATATCTATCTTTATTCTTAAAATTGTCATTATAATAATTCATGAGTTTAACATAAATATTTAAAAAAGAACTTACGTAAAATTTTTATTAATTGCTAACTGGTGAATAATATCAAATATAAGTCCACCATATTTTACAATTGCGCCTGACTCGTTTCGCTGAAGTATCGTCCAAGGAGGATTCTGGAAAAGAAGGATTTAAAATAGGAATGATATTTTTTTTTTTAATAATTATTCCATCCAGAATTTAAAAAACTAGACGCCTTTTCGATGCCTAAAATTCTAATAATGTTTTGAAATGTCGTGTGACGTGATAGTTTACGACATTACTTTTATACTCAGAATACAGAACAAACCAGAAGGCGGCAACGCGCTTCATATTAAAGCCACTAAAACCACTCTTAGCCAGAGTAGTATGAAATTTCTACGATCAGTCAATTTTGGCACGTGGCATGTCGTGACGTATTTACGAGTATCAATTTTAATTTCATTATGCCGTCTTGTGTTATTATTACGAGTAAAAATAGAGCTGGAATTACGAAAAAAGTGGATAAGATTACATTTCATCTGTAAGCATCGACTGCAATAGTATATTTAATTAATTATTGATTTTCTTTTAATGATTTATTTTTCTATGACAATGATGCGGCCATTTTGTGAGTGTTGTCATTTTTGGTGTAAATTTTACCCACTTATTTATTTGTTGTGAGTTATATTGTTGTCCATTGTGGAACCTTTGTCATATTAGTTTTAAAATGGATAAAAAATACATTTACTATACACGTTGTGTATAGTCGGTGTAACTAAAATTAACACAGCCAGAAATCGTCAACTTTTATGATACCTGCATGAAATTTGTAAACAACTAGTCTGTTGCAATTATCGTAAGTTTTCCTATATTTTTTTGGGTTTTCCCAAAAAATATATCTTACCCCCCTTTAGTAAAATTACCCCAAACCAAGGGAATTGTTCCCTGTCGGCAAAACTACGCGGGTGGGAAGTGCGGCTAGCGGGGGGACTGACGTATTGTTTTTGGACACATTAGACAACATGCAATAATGAGTGAACGCGGCTTCTGGTTTGTTCTGTATTCTGAGCTTTTATATTCGTTCAGTCGTTACTTAGTTACCTCCATAGATGACGTGTATTTTGTTTTATCATTATCTTAGGGTTACATTTTTCATTTACATTTTACATGCTCAGATTACACACACTATCTATTAAGAAAAAAAAATAGAATAGAATTTTGAATTCCATTTTTTGTGTCACTTACAAAAGTCTAGCATAGTTCCAGTGACGTTGGAGTTTTAATATCGAAATTATTTACGACAAATTCAAACTTATTCACATGAATTCTTACATGGTAAGTGATGATAGGCAGTTCCTTCCCTCTGAATCCATGGTGGATGTGTGGAAAGAGAACATCTTCGAATCTCACACCGTCAATTGGACGCCAGATTCCTACCTGCGCATAGAAAAAGTACTTTCACATAAAGTGGTTCATTCTTATCGTTTGTGTTACGTGTTGTGCATCCTGACTTTTTCCAAATAGTTTTTTTATTATTAACACTAAACGTACTTCATCAGATTTCCTAATTTAACATTAGGAAGTATTATTGTGCATGAAATAACTGCCAGCATTTGCCTTCCATTAGAAATTTTCCTTAAATTAGCAGTCTTCGCCAGGAAAGCAGTTTTAACCACGACACATTTCTGCTGTGGATCTAAGCTGACAGGGCCAAAAGAATCATGCGTATTATACAAACTTACTTGTATACTTGTACACATTACTTAATTTTAATATCTACACATATGTTAAAAGAAACTTACGTTTAACAAATCAATTTTATCAATAACTCTGTTGGTGGTGTTCATGTTGTTATCATTGACAATGTCGGTAGTCTCAGTGAATGATCGGTAGGTAGCGCCCCAAGTGTCGGCAGCTAAAGCTCGCCACGTGGAACAGTTACCACAGCGACTCTTTGCTGCTATGTGTTGCTGTAAGTAGAAAGGGCACACGAACAATTTTTAGTTGATAGAACTCCAGCCATGGTTGCTGGTCCAAGCGTAATTACTTATTACTGGCTGAGCTGAGCTGAGCTGGCTTGCATCAATAGAATGAACCCTATAGATTTTACGCAGTGAGATTGATATTCTTGCCTTTACCTGCATATGCTTCAAAAGCTTGTCCCTCCTCTGCAATTTATTAGGTCTGATGGCCTCCCATTCTTCGTCGGATACCTGAGCTGCAACATCAAACTCGTCCTGTATGGCCGCTTCCAGTGCCGATATGAAGGCATCCATCAATTCTTGACAGTAACACATTATACCATTCTGGAAAAGCAAGTGAAAACATTTGTGATTGCATTTTTCATATATTTTTTAACTGGACCTAAATTGCTACAACCGGAATCTTATTACTAGAACTCCATTGTCCCACTGTCTCCATTGTCCCACAGATGAAAATTGTTTAGTTGTTTTTTTGTATTTTTAGAAAACGTTTCTCCACAATTGGATTTTCCCATTTGCCGCGGCCATATGCCGTGTCGTTTACAAGCTAACAATTTCACATACACATCACACTCAGACCCCGAACAACTTTTTTTTGTTCTTTAAGTTTAATTTGTCGTTTTCATAAACATTTGTTCCGTGCAGGAATCAAACCCACGACATATTGCGCGGCAGCTAATTGCCAGCCATCGCGCTAAAACGACGCATTCGTTCAAGTAAACCAAACTACCTAAATAAAATAAATATTTAAGGAGAGCTCTCATACTAGACACCTGGTTTTGGTTATCTCTTCGTGTGTAGGTCCGACTCGCACTATGTTTACAAAAACATATTTATAAAGAGGTGTAAGTTTGTATGTTTGTAAGTTGTATGTAGGGGGTAATCTTTGGAACCACTCTGGTGGGATTCCCAAAATTCTTTCACTAATAGATAGCTACAATGTTCCTGAGTGCTATAGGCTATAAAACATCACGCTACGATCAAATGGAGGCGAGCAGCCGGTGAAACCGCGCGAGGGTAGCTAGTCTTGTATATAGCTGAACGATATTACGACACTGTTAGAATATCTGGCCTCCCAAATATTGAACTAGCCAAAAAAAAAATATTTTTGGTTTTATAGATTTCGCAGCATCACCACAGACTCCAGAATACAGTCTGCTACACATTATGCTGGTGTATGCTGTACATATAGGGCTCATACCTTACATAAATTATTAAAAGTATATTTCGCATTTTGTAAGCCCAGCTACTCCATTGAATTAGCCGAAGATGCAATTGCAAAGGCAAAATGTAGGTACCGTAATAAAATTCTCCTTCCTCCACGCTTCCTCCCACTCAGCAAAGGCGATTTGATGATTTTTCGCCCTCGAAAAAATCAATTACTCTATTCAGGGAATGAAAGCCGCAGTTGGCAATAAATCTAGACAATGTAGTATCAAATCATTGTGCCAATAAAGCCTAAACTCCCGAACCTTAATTCCGATCTATGTAAAACAGCGCAATGCAGCCGTGCTAAACAAAACGAAATACGCGAACTATTGTATTGACTCGTAACTAGCGAACAAGCCATTAAGGTCTACCTTCGATTACTATTAGCTTCATCTCTATTAGCCAAACTACTTAAATCTATTTTGTAAGTACGTGGTACGGATATCAATTTAGACACGTGTTTTCGATATAGAGACTACTTAATTTAATTATGAGTATACGAAGCCTAGTTTAAGATATCAATGTTAAGGGTGGGAGAGTCATGTTCCGGCTTGACGAGTAGGCCGACTCGACCGGAGTGATATCACGACCTCACAGAAAACCGGCGTGAAGCAACACTTACGTTGGGTCTTGGGTTTTGCCGTGTGAGAGAAGTTACTGGATGCCCAATCCCTCCCCCTCCCCTATCCTTTCCCAATCCTTAAATATCCGAAACCCTTATCCCCAAAAGACCGGCAACGCACTCGTAACTCCTTTGGTGTTGCGGCTGTCCATGGGCGGCCCCGATTGCTTACCATCAAGTAATCTTTGTGCTCGTTTGCCGACTTATACCATAAAAAAACACTTATCTCACTCACTACGTAACATAACTATTTTTTGTGATTTTTTTCTGCCTGGAAATAATTCGGAGGCTGGCAATTGTCATAGGTGCTTTTTTTTTAATCCGCTTATCTACAATTACTGGAGCTTTAAATACGATATTTACTTACATAAAATCAATCACTCCACTTACCTTACAATCAGGATTGTTGTCAGTCATGTTGTAAATATAAGCAACATTCTCTCCCTCATAGAGATCATTAATCAGACTGCTCAGGTTCCCGTTCTGTGCGTTTGTATCAGATATGACGTATAACCATTGAGCCATCGTATGTGACATGAGCAGATTGCGAGCAGTCTCCGCCATTGTCGTCATCACATCTGACGTCACTACTGCTATGAAATTTTCACCTGTAAGCATTTTATATTCGTCTTTTAAGCTTGGATTACCTGATGGTAAACAATTAGATCAACAGAGGAGTTACGAGTGCTTTGCCGACCTTTTGGAGATTTTAGGATTGGGGTAGGAGAAGGATTGGGCCTCCGGTAGCCTCACTCACACGGCGAACTACAACACTGGTTGTTTCATGCCGGTCTTCTGTGAGACCGATCCTTCTGGTAGACCTTGAAACTTATCGCCTATATCTATTACAGATGTCTGGGATTTAGTCGTCCAGATTTATATTTAGAGTCTGTCTCATCATCAGCTTATTAGTGACCACTGTTGAGCATCAGCCTCTTCTCATACGAAGAACGGCATTAATCACCACGCATGCTCAAGACAGATTGGCGATTTCAAGCTTATAATTAAAAATTAAGTCCAGTTTTCTTCACGATGGTTTAGCAAATAAACATTTTTTATTGATTGATTGATTGGTGTTTACCAGCAGCGTATGTCACATGGTGTTTATATAATCGTAAAAAGTACATATAACGCGTGATAAAAATCTATTTCAGAGTTAACCGACCAATCCATCAAAATAGCACATAGTTATTTACATTCTACTTGGCATATCACTTAAATTTCGTGCCGAAATAAACAAATACAGATCTACATCAGTATAACATATAAAAAATACTACCTTCAAAAACCGATTTTGTCACATTTCTTCTCAAATTCAAATTAATGTCAATTGTGACGGTAAAAATCCACAATACCTAAATTATTCCGGGTAAGCCATCTAAAGGCAGTTGCCCATTTTTAGATGCCTTCCAAACATTGAAAAACATGCAGCTGAGGCAATAGAAATTAATTACAATACTACAATCTGCTGTTATTTGGATTTATTGCTGGCACACAGTAGTTAGGTATTAAAACTTTAAAAGTTATGGACAACAATGGCAGTTTTAAATTGTTGTTTCAAAACTATTCTAACCATAAGTCTACATGACTGTCATAGGCTAATTTTATTAATACAAAACTATTCTTAATCTATTTTATTTCTAAATCTAAATACCTTTTTATTTCATTCTAATTTTAGGGTGAGTAAAAGTGGTCCAAATAGAATTTTCGACATATAAAAAGGAATAATTTTTAGCAACCAATACTTTATAAATGTTTGTAATCTTTTTAAAAAAAGAACGTTGCCCCACATTACAAATTTCTCTTGTATCTTGGGTACGTTTACAAACATAACATTTCACATACACATCACACCCGGACCCGGAACAACAATTTGTAGATCACACAAAGAGTTGTTCGTGAAATCGTGCCACGTTGCGTGGCAGCCACCGCGCCAACCGCGCAGTCATCTATAATAGTTCTTAACACTATCATCTTAACACTCACCAATATACTGCACAGGCAACTTAGACAAGACCCTATACATCTCCTTCCGTCTCAAGTACTCATTGATCTCATGTTTCATCTTGTACACTGTGACGGAGACAGGAGAGGCACTCTCGTCGTCTATTTGTGATGTAAGAGACTGCACCACTCGTGAGACCATGTCCCGACCTGGGTATTGGACAATCAATGTTTGAATAACTACAATAGAGACAATTCACGCAAAAATTCTTAACATCTTCTAGAGTATTTGGTAAAACAGGTCAAAATAAGTGTTGTTCATCTCAATCACATACAGTTTGTTTTTATTTTTAATTAGATACCGTTTTAAATCGTGTCTGATATTTGGCTATAAGCTTCCTATAAAAATGGCGTAAAGAATCCAAATTATCAAGAGAGGTTTCGTGACAAACCTACTATCAAAATTTATTTAACAAAAAAGATGCGAAATATTATCCCGTTAATAAAAAAATTATAATAAACAAGGATTTTTTTTAAATAGGCCATCATCTTAATTTAAAAAAACACTACATAAAGCCTGCAGACGATAATATCGCTTTAGCCGTATATAAAATACCTACTACAATACAATTGAGAAGATGAGATGTGTAGACTACTTACTCAGGGTATCATCATGGAGTATAATAGCAGACTTCCATTGAAAAGCATTAGATGTCCTCAAGTCCAGCAGCAATTGAGGTAACTCTTCACCAGGGTCAGTGAATGTGGCTGTTATAGCTGAATGAGATGGCAATCTTGGACAATCAACTTCAGTAAGGGCAAAGAGTAATAACTCCTCCTCTTCTGTTCGCGAAAATAACTCCCAAGTATCTTCACAGGATGCTATGCTGAATACAGCTAGAAAACCTGTAAACGGTGAAAACTATATTTGGTAAGTGCTCCTTAAATAGTATTTTTATATGTATAGTTTTTAAATAATTTGTTGGGAGAAATTCGCCGTCTGATGGGCCACATGGGACCACATATTTTTTAAGTGTAGGAAAGCCAAGCTTCTGCACGAATGGATCGGCTCGACCGTAGTGATACCACGGCCTCACGGAAAAGCGGCGTGAAACAATCATAACGATGTGTTTCAACGTGTGAGTAAAGTTACCGGAAGCCCAATTCTTACCCGCTCCATTCCCATCTCAATCCCTAAATTTCCGAAACCCTATTCCCCAAATTGCCGGCAACGCACTTGTAACTCCTCTGGTTTGTGGGTAGGGTCATGAGCGGCAACGATTGCTTACCATCAGGTAATAATATAAAAAAAATCATAATTAATACGGTGAAACGGGGTGAATAGAATTCGAGAGGTGAATAGACGCAGAAGAAGGGTAACCAGATACTAGGGAAATTTGCCAACATCTATTCACCCCTTATCTGAATCCATTCATCCCTTTTTATGGTATTCAATAATCTCATTTTCGCCAATAAGAACTAAGTGCAGATTATCTACCTCTTATTCTTCCTCTTACCTTTCTTAAGACTGATGGCAGTCCAGGAATAGTAGTAAACAATGACACCGCCGTGCTTGAGCTCAACCCTCGCCAACTCCTTGATATAGTCTTTCAACTCGTCCAGAATTGTTTGATATTTTTCGCCTAAGTACTGACGATCTAACACTACAGCTGAAATTATGTCTCTATGATCACTACGACAAAGGCATATTTGAATACTTGATTTCTATGTCCTTTAATAATTGCCAAATTAGTCTAAAAATACTTTAAGTCTTATCAGATCTAATCGGCTTACCTATAGAAGCGTTTGCAGTAATCAAAGATGGAAAATCCTCTCCTGACACAGGTGTAAACAAAACCACAAAACCGAGTATCCATAGTTGCATTTTTACTCAACACAAGCGGAGTCCAATTTGTACACTTATCAAATGAAATCCCACTCATAATTTGTAGAAGCAGCTAAGGTAATTATTGATATCCAATCAAAACTTTCCCGTTATTATTAAGGGGTGATGTAATTAACAGAAACCAGGACACAGATGTTCCATGTTAACCTTTATTGTGGCTTGCACGAAAGTACGCCACAGAAAGCTTCGTAGAACAAAAGTTGTTCTTCAGTCAATGTACAGGCGGTATGAATTTCTTGAAGTATGGATATTTTAAGTGTCCACCCCCGCTATGTCTTCCTGAAAGTACACTGATTGAAAAAATAATGCTTAATGTTCTAGCTCTTTCTAGGCACCACAATTCTTCAATTTTGGAAAACAGCTGTTATGTACACAACACAATAGTAAAGTCTTTCGTTTGTATTTTTAGTAGGTATAAGTTGAGATTCTTCTACATGTAAGTATTTTTATTATATTTGGCACTAGTAATCTATAAACCAAATATTTTGCTATAGCTAAAAATGGAACACCCTAAACATATCAAGAATTCGTTCCCAAAAGGTCAGGAGTTAGTTAAAAATTCATTATGAATTACGTGTGCGCGGCATTATAGCTCACTGCTATCGTGATTCCTTCGACAACTCATATTAGGTCACTCTGAGATGACGTGAAATCGACCTATTTACTTATTTTGTACCTCTCTTACAAATTAAGTAAGTACCTTAATTGCTTATGAAATTCTACTGACTCCCCGAATATTATAACGAAATGACTCACAAAAAATATTATTGAGAGTAACACGAAGTCTCAATTTTTAACCTGTTGACTACTAATGGCTATTTTTTTAGAAAATGACGTTGTAATTACTACTTCATTAATAGTATTTAAAATTGAAACTGCAACATTATAAATAAAAATAATATTTTTTAATATTTGAAAAGCCATTGCAAGGGCTGGACAACGGGCTGCTGCACAGCGAGTCGCAACTTCTATTCCTCTACGATAAAGTATAAACTCTTTGTTTTTTACTTAGAATTTAGTTCCGGATCTGTGTCTGATGTGTAAGTATATGAAATAGAATATTTCATGAGCGCATCCACACACACAAAAGAAAATCCGAGTAAGTGGCAGAGTAATTTTTTTTATCAAAAATATCAACTTTTATGACTGTGGTCGTATGTCTAGCCGGCACGATCATTTCATTCATTTCATAAAATTAACTTTTACTCTCCATATGATAGAATAGACCAGGTTACTAGATGTACCTAGATGTAATCAGAAATTCTTCAAAGTGCCACTCATTTGACTTGATTTGAAGATCAAGAAGCTACCCAGCATGCTAGATTAGACAATAAATACCAACTTTCCTTAAACGGTTCAGTCATCAATCTTTACTATGTACTTAACCTAACTAATAGACATGCATAATTTATTTCCGAAACCTTCATTCTACTTAAAAACGAATACAAGGATAAGTCAGACAAGCTATGCATGGAAATGCCAAGGATTGTTAGTAAATAATTCATTAATATCTTAGCAGGCGCGTTATTTTCAACATTAGCACGAAATAAAGATAACGTGTTTCTGTATGTAAATACTTAGGTAGTTGGTTGCGGGGTAAGCGCAATGAGGCACCGCGACCTCGGCCCTGAGCAGAAGAAGGAACAGGGGGGTTTTTAGTCAGTAAGAGTCTGACACTCCCTCCCGCCCGGCCCTGGGCTGGATCATTCACGTCATTTGATGATTTTCCCCTCACAAAAAAAAGGTAGTTAAGCTAATTTGTGTACTAAGACTATGTGATGTTTGACGCCTTCACTGTGTAAGAATCAGTAGGTATACAGGTACATCAGGATATTACTGTTATGGCCATCCACATCATAGTCATCATAATAAGGTTAATATCCTCAGACAGACATTCCACTCGCATTGTTTTCTGATTATTTAAATAACAGAACCCAATGTGTTAAAATTTAAGAAAACATCAGTGATGTACCTACTTCCAATCAAATTTGGGGTGCCGCAGGGTAGTATTTTGGGTCCAAGTCTCTTTTTCTGCTACATCAATGAACTCTGCATGCTTAACGTAAAAAAAATGCCGTATCTCCGCATATGCAGATGATACAGCCCTTACCTTTTTCGCAGACTCGTGGACTGAAATTTTTTAATCTTGCACAGGATGGATTCAATGCGGTATGCCATTAGCGATCATCAAACTCCCTGACTCTAAATGAAGATAAAACCAAATATGTTGTATTCTCAATTCAGACTCGCCTTGATTTTGTAAACCTTACCAACCGTATCTATGCCCATAAATATAACTTTCCTCCATTCCAAACTGTAACTGTCCCAATATTAATCGTACAAATTGTATTAAATACATTGGAATCGAAATTGACTGTAACTTAACTTTTGAAAACCATATTAAATCAATATCAAACAAAGGATAATGCTGGAAAGAGCTCAGAGAATGACTTTAAAAGTGAGCCTATCCAAACCTCGTTTATTCCCACCTCAAAACTCTATGAAAAAACCCAGATACTGATAGTGCGGCAACTGTACCTATATTATGTTGACTGTACTACTAAAACATGCCAACTTGCCAAATGAATGGAGGATGTGGGTAGCCCTCTCCAGAAGAAACCATGCAATATGTGAGCCCACTACTGTAAATACTAGCTTTGCTCATAGATTCTTCCAAGAATCTTTGAGCTCTCTTATACAAATAAGAAAATTACCATAGTAAATTGCCGCAAATCCCAATGTAAAAATCGACTTAAGAAAGTTTTCGTATAGAATTTGGTGATTGTTTTGGGCTGCTGTGTAATGATGAGTTGGTGTAGGATACAAATAAATATTAAAATTAAAGTTATTTTTCTCCATGTCACCCTAAAAAAAAAAAAATTATTGATAGTGCCACTTGTCAAAAAATTGACAAGGATGACATTTTACAGGAATGTCACTTGTCAGCCGTTCGATTGTTTGTGATGTGAATCTGAAATGAATTCGTGAAAACATTCAATAAATTCAGGTTACAAAACTTACAAAGATATTTTGAATTGAGCTTGGTGTATTCAAATCCGTTTTAGAATTAATGGAAATTATATAAAATGGCGCAACAATACTATAAGAAGATTTTCATAACTGTCGGCACAACGAGATTTGATTTACTTTGCGATTATATCTTGACCGAACCTGTGCTAGCGGCGTTAAAAAACATCGGCTGTAAAGAAATTACGTTTCAAATTGGCAATAGCAATGTAGAACCAGCTATATTAGAGAAGGAGAATGTTAAGATTAATATGTACAGATTTAAGGACTCGATTCAAGAGGATATTAAGAATGCTGACTTGGTGATAAGTCATGCCGGAGCTGGCAGCTGTCTGGAGGCTTTAGAAGCTAATAAACCTCTGCTGGTAGTTGTAAATGAAGACTTAATGGATAATCACCAATTAGAATTAGCAGAACAGCTTCAAATTGACTCTCATCTATATTACTGCACATGTGATACATTAATAAGTACATTAAGTATGGTGGACTTTACTTTGCTCACTCCATTCACTAAAGCCAATTCATCAATTTTTGTTAATTACTTAGATAGTATATTTAGAGTTGAGAATTGAGTGCACCCAAACAGTTTAGTTAGTTGATTAAGGGCATTCTTTTTCTTATTTACAAATAATAGATAGTTTTATTTTAAGATATTTAATTTTATTTTGTAATAAACAATATTTTATGTATTTTGGTCAAATCATTTATTTCTAAGAATAAATGTTACATACATTTACAACCTGTTTTTATAAGTGTTCTCAATCATTCCTTATTTCTAAGTACCACTGTGAAAGATTTAAATTAGTAAAATAACAGAATGTGATATTGTGTAATGTTTTATAATTAATGTATAGAACCACTAGGTAATACTAGGCTTGTAAGAAATAAATTATTTTCATAAAATAATTTAGTTTTATTGCAAAAATACAGATCAACATGTTATAAAGCTCACAAAACATAAGAAGTTATATAAATAGTGCACTGGTTTCCAGGAAATTATGAAAATAATAGGACAAGACTAAACTTATAAATGTTTATTATGAATAATTTAGACTAATTTCTTGGCTTCAAAGAAGCTCTTGAGATGTCTCATCTGCCAGTAGCCAATGCCAACAAGGACACCAGTTTGGAGAAGACTCCACCACAATACACGCTGGTTTGTGCTTTCTGAAGTCTGTCTGAAACGCTCCTCACGGTGCTGGAACATAGACAAAGGTTTTATTACAAAGTTTTACTTTAAGTACAAACCTTATAACTTCTAAACATTTTGTTAAGTTTGTCAGCCAGCCTGTAGGTACCTCATTTGTTGCCATTAGTGTTCTTTTTATATAATACAAAGCAGTTTATATGAAGTTCCAAAATCCATTATTAACCTACCCTTTGATAGCTCTGCTCCTTCGTAATCTGGTGTACTTGGTCAAGCAGTTGTCTGATTCTAAGCTGCAGCTCTGTTAGTTTGTCCTTGTGAGCTACATTAGCATAGTCCACTGCATGCTCACCAACTTGAATGTCCAGGTGCACCTGTTTTACAATTGAATTAATTTATAAATATAAGAAATACAAGCCATTATTTTATAAATATTTGTAATATCTAATGGATGAGTAGAAAATAAAGATAAGAAATAAGTGAGTTTTCTGTTTACACAAGTGTTGCTCCAATGTTAAATTACTGTTGAAGTGGAGTTTATTACCCACAGTAATAGATGTAGATATTTCAATGATCCTGTTAGGAATGCTGAGTAATGATTTTCTGTATGATTTTTGCCTGTAAACAGAAAACTTGAAAGAAGTATAATCATACTCACTCTTAGCTGGGAACCACTGAACCAAGATGTACTGTTAGAGTACATGCAGATAACGTGCTCTCCCGGCGTTACCGATGTGAATGATATCATGCCTTCTGACGAATACACACGGGACATCAACACTTTATCGTTGGGATCGCGAACCTCCACATGCATGCCTATGCCAGGGGTCGATGGCATGAAACCTCCTGATCTCGGGTCATATAATTCCACTTTGTAATTCACTGAAAAATATAAAAAAAACGTTATTTACAACCACATCTAGATAAAAAACTTTAGCTCAAAAATGAAAGGCAGGACCCAAAAGAAGCGTTACCTATAACTGTCGTATCGTCCGGAATTTCTTCTATGAAACATTTTCTTTCACCTTCAGCTATGTGGAAATATAAAGCTGAGGTTACGTCTAAGAAGAAAAATAGCGCAATTATAGAAGATACTTTGAATAACTCCATTTTTCCAGCGTATTACATTCGGCAAAAACTAAGATGACATGACACACGTCACCGACATTTTAAACGTCAAATTGTAAAAGATGCATTCACTTCATCCAATAAGATTTTTAAACTCTCACAAAAAAAACATTATTGTATGTAATTGTAATATCAAACTACGGGCCTATTTTTTACGAAACTTATAGTAATCCATCATTAAACTATTATATTTATAACTTAAATTTTCTCAAAAAATAAACGACACGTTCATACTCATTCATCCTGTACTTGACATTTTATTGACAAATAAATGGTGACGTTTGGTTTTCGCAGATGGTACGACTTTTGTCCGAAGAAAAACATGTTTCGTACTCTGGAAACAAATACATTTTAAGTCCAGTTTCTTCTCTAAATTAGTTTAATCTTATGTGATATAAATAAGTGTTAACGTAATATTTCTAAGTACCTATAGTTTTTTTTATATCACGTCGAGACAGCCATGGATCCTTTTATTATTGCAGCAATAATAAGTGCAATTGTTATAGTTTTGCTATCAATTGCATTCCTGCGGGTGGGATCGCAAATCAAACCACAAGGTATTAAAAAATATTTCATATGCCAGAGCAAACACGAAATCTCAATCAAACTTCAAAGAAACCTCAATATTTAGCCCCATTTAGTAATGAACGTTTTTCTTTCTTACTGGCATTAAATATGTCTTATTGGACTTTCTTACAGGTGGAGCAAGACCTCGAGCTGTAGTTCAGAGAGATGGAGGCCCAGGAAGAGTACAAGCTGTTCGAAATCAAAGAGCACGGATGAGAGCAAATGGTTTGTGAACTTGAACAAAAAATGCCTTAAATGAACATATCACATAACATAACTCACTTACCCCAATGGTTATGCTTAGATGAACATTGCAGCACACCATTTGGGGTCTCTGAATATTGATTAAGGCCTATGGCTTTTCGAAAATCACAAACTGAAAGGTTAATAAATAAACATTTTTATTTTGTAGCAGCCCGACACCAAGCTGCTGCCCTCGAGGAGGAACCAGATGTAGTAGATGAAGTTGAAGAAGATAATCCTACTGAGACCCAAAAAGTAGAATTTGATGACAAAATGGGTGCTAAGGTAAAATTATATTATAGAATAATAATATTTATTCAGTAGATGAAAATTATGAAATACATGTATATGGACAAAAAATATTTACGATAAAAACATGTTTATTCGCAGAAAAGGGCGAAACTGGAAGCCAAAATGGAGAAAAAGAAGGCAAGAGAAGCAGAAGAACAAATGAGAGAGATCAAAAAGAAGAAAGATGAGGAATTAGAACAAGAAAGGAAAAAGATTGAAGAAAAACAGGAGGTAAAAAAATAATATGTCAACTATAACATTTAACATGGTTTACCAAAGCCTAATTAAGAAAAGCTACATAAAATAGCTCCATTTATGCCCCAAACCTATGAATATTTTGGGGCCTTTTGAGTGAATATCAAAAGCAGTATTGTCTTGAATTTCTATTTAATTTTTTAGGAAGAAGAACGCCAGAGAGAGGAAGCTGAACGGAAAGCAGAAGAAGAACGCAAAAGACGCGAACAAGAAGAATATGAAGCCATGAAAGCAGCATTCACTGTGGAAGGCGAGGGTTTTGATGAAAATGATGAACAGGATAAAGAGAACTTGCTTAAAGACTTCATAGACTACATTAAGGTAAGATAAGATTTAAATAAATAAATCACACATCTATTTTTTATAGTACTTGACTAAATTAATTGAAAATAATGACTTACTGAGTTGGCTGCGCGACGTCGCCGCGACGCGCGTTTGTCTCGTTGTGTCTTGCAACTAATAGATCTTTTCGAAGTTAATACACGTAAGTCGTTATTTTCGATAAATCTCTGAACTCTAATTAAATTGAGATAAAAATATTCAAATAATAATTAACTTTTCAATAATAAAGATAAAAATTAAATTAATAAACTTATTTTAAAATGAAATTAATAAACTAATTTCAGGCCCAAAAGGTAGTTCTGCTTGAAGATCTGGCTGCCCATTTCAAACTGAAGACACAAGCTGCAATTGACAGGATAACAGAATTGCAATCATCTGGTGAACTTACTGGTGTTATTGATGACAGGGGAAAATTCATTTACATATCACAGAAAGAGCTTGAAGATGTTGCTAAATTCATCAGACAAAGGGGCAGAGTATCCATCACAGATTTAGCTGAATCTAGTAATGATTTGATTAATTTAAATCCTGTAACTGTACCCTAGTCCTGCCGCTAGCAAATAGTAACTTTTTAAGTTTTCATTATGTTTGTACTCATGTCGTTATATAGAGTAAAAAAAGATATGTACATGTTAATACAAATATTTATTTTTAAAATGAAAGAATGAGACACAATTAATCAATTATTTCATATCCAAACATATCTCTTCCTTTTTCAATTAATATTAGGGACGATTCCTTAATCCTGTCCAAAAATTCCATCATTTTGCTCTTAGTAAACACCTGGTACAAACATCTATTCTCTGCAGCAATAAGGTCGCATAACTTCAGAGCTTCTTTATGATTCTCAATATCATCAGTACTTTGCAATATCTTTAAAATCAAAATAACAATTTCAGGAAGACAAAGACGTCTCAAAGTCTCCAATTGTTTAGTTCTTTCTTGTTTTTCATCATCACTGAACTTTTCTGAAGTAGTACTATCATTTTCATCTTGAAGCCATCCACCAGGGAATAATAACACATTGTACAGCAAATCTTTTGTGTGTTTTGCCTGATGTTGTACAGCATTCAGCCAACGAGATTTTTGTTGTTCCACTTGAGCACATCTTTGTTCATGATGCACTTTATCAGAAAATGATGCATCTGGAGGAAGTGGTTCTACATCTTTAGGTTGACCGCTAATAAAATGTCTGTACCAAGTAGCAAATCCTTCTAGTGCTTCCAAGTATGCCTTCAAACAAAGATGTTCTCTCAATTCTGCTGAGCTTGTAGGAATTTTATTTAAAAAATCAGGGAACATTTTGTTCACATTAACAACACAAGCCAAAGCAGCATCTGTATTTCCAATGAAAATGAAAGTTCTAATCATGGCATTACTAAGCCACAAGGCTTCTTCAACTTGATTTGATATAAGAGATAACCACTCAAGGGATGATATTACTTTTTGAATCAAGGTCTTATCCTTTTCAACAGCTGTGGTTTGAGTGAAAGTCAAATCCAGATTACCATACCCTTGTTGAATATCTGTGATTGCTTTTTTTATGGCAACCCTAGCAGAAGCACCAACATCAATGCCAGCATTGAGCCCTGCTTTAACAACTCCCTCTCTGTATTCGCTTTTGTGGACATGATCCATCAGTTCTGCATAAAGTGCTATCTGTCTGGTAACAGGAACTGTAGAAGTGTAATATGCAATGAGCTCTGGACATTCCACTGAACCATTAATTAATTTACTCACAAGTTCAGTAACATATTTCTCTAGAATTTTATCTCCAATATCATGTTGGGGATCTTTTCCCATTTGTCTTAAAATTAGAATAAGATGTGCCAAAAATCTAATAAACCTGTCATCACAGCTGTCAATCCATTGCAAAGAATCTTGCATAATGGCTCTAACATGACCAAGCATAAGGTGACGCTGACAAGTTTGGTATAAAGATTCTTTTTTACCATCCATCAAGGCTTTTACAGCATTAAAGATCTGTTGTAATGTCATTTCATCAACCTGAAGCTCTGACTGTAAGAGTTCCAAAACATCTGATGGTGTTGTGCTAGCATCAACTGTAGCATGATGTTCATGTAAAAACTTATCAACTCTTGCCTCAATTTGTGCCCTTAGATGAGCCCAGAGCAAATCTTCCCAACTGCCTTGACAAGCTGGCAGTGTACTCGCTAGATGACCACATAAAACTCCAACTGTGGCTCTGTAATGAATATTCTCTGCTGTATTATTAGCAAGGCCCAATGAACACCACTTCCACAAATCTCTTGATGGATTACCACTAATTTCCAAGGCAGAATTGGGTTCTTCTTGTGGTAAGTAATGAAGTAATATCCATCCTTGCAGAACAGCTCCTCTCCATGCCTGTCCAGCATTTATGCATAAGGAGACAGCATCTTTAAACTTGCCACACCTAACTTCTGTAAAGATGCGCTTACACAAATCATTATCATCCTTTTGATCTTCTGAGTGTACTATCTTCTTCTGTCTTCTTGGTGCATCAGGATCCATACAAGTTACCATTGATTTGCTCTTCTCTGTATTAAATAAGCTATTTCCAAGTAACAATTGATGTAAAGTGTTTCCCCAATGAATGTTATTGCTAATTATAGGAGCTGAGGTCTTTGTGGCTTCCTCTTGGTATGCTGCAGTAGCTTCTAGCCAATCAACCAACAGTTGCAGCAATCTTAACTCAGAATCACTCCTAAACAAAGCATTTACCAAGGTTTGCTGGGATAATGTAGTTTCAGTTATCAAGCTGTCTAAGGACTCTGGGTGTTCAGTTATAGAATCAGCATATAAACAATGAAGCAGTTTCCATGTGTTGGCTTCTTCAGCCAGCCAATAGTTTTGTGCATTATACCTGTTCCATGGCTCGACCAGCTCCAGCGAATCACAACATACTTGTGCTAACCTCGCTAGCGTGTCTAAAACGTCACTCGGGCGACTTGTTTGTATTATTTCAAAGAACGCTTCGCTTAAGCCTTCAGCAGAGACTCCAGGATTAACTATTATTGAAGATTCATCAAGCACTTGCCTCAAACTCGTATCGTTGAGATTTTTGAATATAGAGGTTTCGTTTAAAATTGGTGATAAGTTTAAAGTATCTTCTCTTGCTAACAACTGCCTGTTTTTTCGGTTTTTCAATGGTGTAAACTGCGTTGAATGCATTTGAAGACTTCTATCGAAACTTTTCGCCATTTCGGATATTAATTTGAGTTGAATTAGCAATACACAAGACAGCAAAAGGTTAGCGGCTATCTAAGCGCGCCGAACGTTGATTACAATTTGACATTTGTTGGTATTTTTGACAGCGCCACTGTATTGTTGTACGTTCAAACGTAAGATTTATAAGGTGAAAAAGAAATAATGATGAAGAAATATTTACAGGATATCACATCAGAAAATAAATAAATATTTTTTAAGTTAACCTAGAGTTATTTTGTAGTGAATTAAGACAAATTCAGACCATTCCAAACCATAAAGTTGTAATTAATTTACTGCAGTAATTTATAGTTTTCGAACGATCATTTACTTCGTTGATTCGTTCGTTGATCATTGCCTCAACACTTTGCAGATTCTGGAAGAAGGTAAAGAAAATAATTATTAGAAAAAAATATATAATAAGATACAGAAATACATAGTCTAATTCAAAATGATATTAATAACATAATAATTGAATAATATGAAACTTCATAAAGTACTAACTTCTCCGAAAGTATCCAAATATTTTTATCCCTACACTTCTCTCTCCCCATTCCCTCTCTACATTATCAACGTCGTTGCGTGTAAAGGTAAGATTAAATAAATTAAATGTTACAATAATTTACTAATAATGAGATGTGAAATTATTGTACTCTTTATCTTTAAAGTTATTTATTTTATCTCAAGTAGGCATACAAAACTTAGTTTCTATTTTTCACTACCTAATTTCTCTGTAACTTCTATATCTAAAAATGTTATCACAATATTTTATATTTGACTGAAAGTGAGTCAGTTTTATTTATAGGTTTGTCTGTAACTAGTTGGTAAAATTTACAATCATTTAACTTGTTCTTTGGCAGGTATTTATTGTGTTTTGCATAAAAAACATCTTCAGGTCCAGTACATTTCTATTCCATTATGATTTGCTGAATTTCTATAGCCAGAGACAGCAAAGGACACATCATTTAATCAATAAAAAAATGATTTCTTTCCTGCATAATATGTTTGCAAGTGATTAGAAAACATTCTAAGACCAATCTGAGTACAAGAAAATTTAATATTCATCGTAAAATCATTAATAAGTACTAATGATTTTACGATGAATATTAAATTTTCTTTACATTTATTAGTAACTTTTATGTTACCTATCGAATAAACTTTCTATAAAATGCACATGTTATTAATGAGAATAGAGAATATTAAATCCTATTATACTAAATATACTGGTAAGGTAATTAAGTAGGTAAATCCAATTGATCTGTTGTAATCAATAAAAATTGTGATAAAATAACACAAAAATTACACATTTATTCAAATAACTTCTATAAATATTAGTAATTAACCTATTCTGGGCACCTGAAATGATTTAGGTACCTATTTGTTTCTTTAACAGTGTATAAAAATAGATGGAATTATTTTTAAAATTGTCATTGATCTCAATTTTAATCATAAAAAAAGTATTTCAAAACAACATTATACTAATTAATTAACTGCTTTCTACTATATTTTAATACTTGTAAGCTATAAATTCTGCATATCAACTACATAGGTAATAGATAATTTTAAAGAAGCAGCTTAGCAAATATATGTTTGTCGCTGAGACTTAGTATTTATTAAACTGTTCAAAATTTTCAATTTCTAATGCTGATTTGTCATAATCTTAGAGTCTTTTGTTTTTGCTTAGTAACAAGTATCTTAAATTCATATTGAAAGCATTCCTATATTCTCTGGCTTTTGAGTTGGCTGCTGTTAGAAATCTTATGATTATTAGTCTTATGAAGTCTCAACAGCAATAAGCCAGAGACCACCACTAATAACAGCTGTTGTTGACAAAAGGTGTTAGGGTGTTGAGTTTAGCTTTGTTGCATGACTATGTTATCACAAATTGTACAAAAATAGATTTTTGTTTTTTCAAGTTACTGACATTAGTGACATTATTTTTGTAACTTCTATGTCAGGCAACTGTCAGCAAAGATAGTATTGAGTGCAGTATTATTTGATTTTATTTGTAAGTTTCTTGATTTGTGTGGACAGTGTTAATTCATTACATTTTCTCTATTGTAGGGTGTAAGTAGCTGCAAAATGTGGGTTAGAAAACAACCCTTTCCTTATTACAACTTGCAAGCACAAGATTTAACATCAATGTTCACAGTATCAGAGGTATGTATGATAAAGGCTTGATTAACTTATTATTTCTGAGTTATTTTTTTTGAAAATTCATATACAATGTATCAGGGTGTTGATATTTTGAGATCCTGTCTATCGGTTCATAAGCATTGAGATTCATGATAAGGTCAGTTACCTAGTTAAAAAAGTACCTTGTTACAATAAATAAAAATATGAAAAAACATTAAAACTTTTAATAGTATATGAAAAAAAACTGTAATTCAAAAAAGTAGTTCATGAGATTTCTCATTTGTAAAATCTGAAATTTAAATATTCGCAAATAAATCTACATGTTTAGGTATGAAGTATGAAATAATAGCTGAAATAACATTCTGTCTGCAGCTACTGTCAGCATTGTGTTTGTGGCCTGGCCAACATCTTTCATTCGGTATTTCTGTGGAAAATGTATGATCTTGCAGTACATTACTATTGATGCTATATTCTGTTATTTATTAGAAGTATCTTTTTAACACACAAAGAAAAAAAGAGGTGTTTTATATAATGAGTACCTATGTTTTATCCGAATATTAAAATACCCACTTAAGTAAATTGTTGAACATTTTTCTCCCATACATTCAAAAATCAATTGGATTATTAAATGAATTTCTAAACATACTGAAGATATATTAGATTTTACATACAAGGTGTATGAAAATTATAAATACCTATAGGTACCTACAAATACTAAAATGAAGACTCATTCTGTCTATGAGTAGGTGTTTTTTATGAAGAGATTAAGCAATTAAATTATTCAGTTAATAATGATGTAGGTTATTTAAATTTGTGGTACATTATCTACTAATTACTTTTATGTAAGATCTTGTAAAGCGAATTTATTAAAATTTACTTAAATAAAAATGAAGATAATATACTTACAAAATTCGGTATTTACTTAATCTCATAACAAATTACTATAAAAAGCATATGTAGGTACCCTATTTCCTGGGAAATGCTTATAAATCATACAATAACACCATGCAAAAGAAGTTCCTTTTATAACCCTATTTTAAAATTTAATAGGTAAATAAATAAAATACATGGAACCTAGGCTAGAAATGAATGTACATAAAGTAATTTATTTACCATATTACATTAAACATTCAAGGAACAAAGGAAGATTACCTAAATTGAACTCTATTTTTATTCAATACAACATTAAACTATGTGCACTAGCATTTTTGGTTTTCGAACCTGTTGTTAAATCTAAATAAATCATATTATAAACTTAATTATCTAACATTAATATTGCGAAATCATAGCAAATTAAAAATGTCTCCCATGTGCGAACTGACTGATAAGAATATAACTAAACGCACAGAACCACAGACTATCGAAACGTTGAAATGTTCGGTTTATCTATTCATGCTAAAGACGCAGTAACATTAGGAACTGGAACGCAATAATGATTTTCCAAGCGACCGGAAATGCCTTCTTGATCTTGTAAATTACTTTTTATGTATGATGTTATGTGATTAATGTTTTTTTAAAGGCATGCGTATGTGTAAATCAATAAGTGTATTTCGATATATTTGATGTAAAAATAAAAAAGATATACCGGCAAATAATATAAACGAGACACTTTATTGATTGTTGTGTGGCGGCAAAGATCCTAGTCGTTTAAATATCAATTTAGAAATATGTTAGTTAAAAAAATATGAAATAATTGTTAAATTGGTCAATAATATAAAATTTTACATTGATGACATTTATTTTAGAAATAAATATACCGTTTATTATTTGATAATTAATTTGACTTTACCGCGCAGGTTCTAACTCAAGGACAAGCTTGCTATCTCTTTTGCACAACTTGCTCTCTGCGAACGAAATTGTGTGCGGCAAAATGTTTCATCACTGGATATGAGTACTTTACCTACCCAGTTCGCTAGTGTTTTTTAGCCTGGTTCCGCCATTATTAATAAAAAAAACTTCATTGTCATTATTTAGATGCTATACAATCAGCTAAACGCGAGTGTAACGTTGTAAAGTTCTAAAATCTGCTAATTTAGTGGGCACCAAAAGTGTTTTGGAAGTGTATCATTTCCTGTTTCATATCGTATAGAAACAAGCAACTACGACCACTAACTTACTCTTTTCGTTATCACGTGGGTTAAATTTCGAATTATGCAGCTTTTTCTATTCATTTTTTTATTTTTTCATAATTTATTAGTTTGCAGTGACACTTAAGTTGTGTGAATAGAAAAAAAACCGGTTCATAACCCTTCATAAACGTTGTTTTCAGAAGCGCGCCGAGTCGCTGACGGCCCGCCGTTCTATTTGGCTTGTAATGGAACCGGCAGGGGACTAACTATATGGACAATGGTGGTCAAAAACTGTGTCTTAGTGAAACTTAGTGTAGTGCCAGTGCTGTGAACTCTTTATTAGTGTTACATAAGGTCGCAATGAACTGTAGAAGAAGCCCGCCCTGACGCGGCGAGCGCGCCAGCGTCCGCGGCGGGCGAGGTGCAGGTCATGGCACCAGCATTGTCCATAGCATCCCGAGAGCCGCACATCCACGACTCAAATTTGTTTGGAGAAATAGAGCGGCCACTGAGTCAACGAAGGCGGGCGCTTGCGTCCGTCGATAACCTCGCACCACATATGGATGAAGATGACATGGGACCACAGAATCAGCCTAGTCTCGCTAAAGACTCTCAAGAGATGGAGCAGATCTTGGTTGATTTAGGGAACAGCGATCTTGACCAACAAGGAGACCTGCTTCAAGCTATAAAAACCCTAGAAACTGGTGGTGACACACTTTCTGGAGGAGAAGCTCTGTCTACTGATGACCCAGAAGCAATCTTCCCTCTATCTGGATTTGAGTTGGCAGAGCCTGCAGATTCAGAGGGGGATGCTATGGAAGAAAAGATAAAAGTAATGCAGCTGCGTCTTGAGAGAAGATGTTCTTTTTTACAGAGAAGATTAAGAATATTACAGGCTCGTGCTATTGGGAAGAAAGTATCTGAGGAAGCAGCTCAGACTTTTGAGAAATGTACACGAGGAGTCCGCAAGGATAGTGGCGGTGGCAGACCAGTGGGTTTGAAAACATTTTTAAAAACTATAGAGACCACTTCTGCATTACAAGCTAGTGCAGCATCAAGGACAGTGGTTGGCCCTAAGTACTACAATCCTGGAACATCTAAAGGTGATGCATCAAAATCTGCAAGTATTGGCATACCATCCGGCACACTGACAGGCTTGGAAGATACTGCAGGAGCCCTGCGTTCACACCTATCAGTGGTAAAACACGAGCTGGACTCAGATGCCACTCTGTCGTCATCAGGAGCTGAGAGTAATGATGAAGCTGTCACCTACAACAATCCACATCAACAGCAGATGCCAATGTAAGTGATATTTTACTATCTTCATGTATTATCTTGATTATTGCTCAATAGTGTTGGAAGATGTAAACGGTAGATAAATGTAAGGTCAGGATGGTACATGAATGAAACATGGTTATGATTTATATCTTTTTTCTTATTGTCAGAGTTTGAACTCTGCTATGATGATATTTTTAGCAAAGTATATTTGTGTAGGTTGTAGTTTTATATGTATACTGATTGACATGATGTAATTCAATTTTTTAAGTGACACCACTAATTTCCAATTAGATGAATTACCTACTAATAATATTTTATCTGCATTATGATAACTTCTTAATGGTAATAAGAGAATATTTATTTCTATTGTGATTTTGCCACTTTCACATTCTTCTATGATATTGCATCATTTCCATTTGACCCTAACTAATTGAATGAAAAGTAGTACTGTTTGAAATACACCTAGCTTGTTCAAATTTAGACCTTTTGTTTTATATCTTGTTTGTTGAGTTTATCAGATTCATATCAGTATGCTGTAATACTTAGTCTGTGAAACATTTTTATAGGTTACAAGGGTTGATGACCTGTAGGAATCACAGTTCTGGTTCACTTCAGAAAAGGGAACAATAAGAATCTCATTGATTTATTTATGAGAGAACTTGAATACATTAGGTATTATAACAATAATAAAATCATTATATACTTTGCTTTACAAATTGGTCATTGATGGAATTATAAAACAGTTATTTAAGGTTTTATGGTGTTGAAATTGTTACTGAAACTTTGACCTTATTTAGGATTTTTAGCATAAATGTATCAATAAAAAGTAGTCAGTGGATAGCCTTAGGGGTGGATTAAAAAGTGAAAACATAAAATGTGTCACAGTAATGGTTTGTAAAGCTAGCTTCTGCATTTCAAACTTGCAAAGCTTATAAGGAAATATTATAGACTTCATACAAAATCCATGATCAAATATCTATTATAATTTATAGATTATCTATTGTGTTCCATTGCCCACTTTGCACATACACTACACATACACTTTCCTATAACATGTTGCTATGTTTTATCTTTAAATTTAGGTGAACTTAGTCATAAGTATACCTACATTTAGGATCACATTATTATGCCAGATAATTGTATTTCAACTAGCAATTAATGTATTCCAACACACAAAGTTATAGTTTATTTTATGAAACCAAACCTTCTCCCATTATTCTAAGTACAGAACTCACTTATTCACTCTAAATAAACAAAGGTTATGTTACATTTTTTGGGTTGTGAATAAAATAAATATTGTTCCATTGAAACAATTACTTATATCCTTGGCAATGCACTTTTGGCTAGGCTTATTAAGCTGTAGTGTAATTTTTTGAAGATGTTTAGATTTTTTAAAGTATAGAGTAAGACATGGGGGCTATAGAAGCTTGAATCCTCTATCAGAAGCTACTAAATTACAAATTACAATTTAGATACTAACAGTGTTGCTTTCTTGTTTCAGCGAAAAACGCGCGCTATGGTCGTGGCAACGCGCACGTGCGTCGATTGCTTCTCGCTGGTGCTGGTTGCAGGCCCAAGTTCAGGAGTTAGAGTATAGGATAAGGCAACATAATGAACTGCACAAACAGGTTAGTGACACATATCTATGATATGATACATCATCATCAGCCTATAAGTGCCCACTGCTCAACAATGAGAGAGAGAAAGTTTGAGCATTAATCATCACACTTGCTCAAGGCCGATTGACAATTTCAAACTTATCACTAGAAATTACAAGTCCAAGTTTTCTCACAATGTTTTTCTGCACATTATGTCAGTGGTGTCTTGATAATCATAGAAAGTACATATGTCTCGGAAAAAGTCACATTGTTCCTTGTGACGTTTTAAACCCATACCCTCCTGCATGAGAAGGGGGTGCTTAACCTCCAGGCCACCACAACTGTAGTGAGTTAAGAGAGAGTAAGATGCTATGCTAATACTGACACTGCTGTGTATGTAAAAAGAAAAACTTTTATTTACAATCAGTATACATATTATACTGTTAAAAATTTAATGTTTTGACTAGATAAAAACACTATGCTGTGATTATAATTAACATCATAAATTATGTAGCTGTACACATTTTGTTTTTACGAAACATGCGATTTGGTAAAAGTTCTAATTAGGAGTTAAGGTCAATGATCTTTTATCTGTAATTAGTGATTCTGATAAGCTACTTGACTAAATATTACTTGTGCTGAGACCTTAACCTTTTATCTATAGCATAAAATGTTAAATACCTACATAAATTCTTGTTGTGACTCCACAATTTAAAATAAAAATAAACCTGAAAGTGATTTTAATATCAATTTTTTTTCTAGAAAACCTCTTTGTTTTGTTATCAAGGAGTTCAATCTTTATTTTTAAAAGATTCACATAAATACTTTATTGTGGTTGTGTGTTTACATAGGCCCTAACCTGCCTGCATGGGATTCATAATTTTTGAAAGTGTAGATGCACATTAAGCACCTTTGCAGTGTTATTTAAAAGGTGTTGTCCTCATGAAATATTTGCTTTGGCAACACTGATTTGTCCAACTGCTTCTGAGTTTTGCATCTAGCATAAAATTGACCATCAATTATTATTATATTATAAATTAATCTGTTGTTCTTATTTTAGCGAAATAATTAAAGATGTAATAATGAGCAACTCAAATTCAAAATCAATGTTTTTTTTAAACTCAACTTATTATTTAAACATAACATAATATGAATCTATATAATTCAAAGTAGGTTGTATGTATAATTCATAGAAATAAAACATGACACCTATTTATATAAATAAATTGAATACAAAGATATCTATAAAAATATTCGCGTCAAAAGAGTTTTTTTTAATTCATTATAATTTACTACATCTGCTGAACAATGAATCAGTTGTGCCCAATGATGTATAAAACTATAGATACGTTGTCCGCGCTCTAAAATGACAACATGAAATGAAGGCAATTGACAACATCGCGCTTAGTTACGCACCAACCTGCCGCGCGACGCTACGTTTGTTTTTAATTTATATCGTGTGTGTAAACCTGTGCGAAACATAAAGAAAGCATGTCGTCGTGTGTGTTCAGACGATGTACAAATTATACTCCAAAAGTTAAAGACAAAAATGTGTCATTTCATGCGTAAGTTCACCAAACAACCTATTTTTATTTTATTTTTTTCGACGCCGGCGCCCGCCATCTTATGGCGGCCGGCGCATGAAGGTATAGTCACGTGCCGTCGGCATAACTGAAGATGTATATTTATCTCCCTCTAGCAAAGGCATTCCACTATACGATGTCATATTTTCTTTCCCTTTCTTTACTCGTAGAAGTAGTTATCTAGTATTTTCGCCATTTTAAAGCGCCGCGATGTTGGTTCATGACGTGTCTATATATAATACGTCATTGGTTGTGCCTAAATACTGTAATAGATAAACACTGGGTTAGTTGACGCGCTAGCTAGGGTAACATGTTTAAACAAGTTATAGTTCGCGCGCATGCCGCAAACTCAAGGTCACGAATCAACAATGCCGCGCCAATGCTAGTTTTTTAATCTGTTGGGTTTAATGATAAAATATACATCTACTAGAGTTCCCTTTACGAGATATTCTGTATCACAGTGTATTAAAACTTTTTAAAGCTGTGACATAACCATACAGTACTATAATTTGTATCTTTCTTTAATATGGCGTGTTACAATAGATATTGTTAAAGGTTCAAGGCAACAATATTATCCAAATATTGCATTGCCTACACCTTATCTCTAATTGATAAATTACAGAGCTATAATATTAATTAAATGACATCATTGTGAGAAGCTGGTCAATTCAGTACCTGAGAGGTGCAGATTTTGTAATTTCTGTTAAGCCCATACAGCATGGTTAGCAAAAAATCTGAACTATTCTCTAGATTATGTAATCTAACTTAAAGGAACCTTGGTCAGCACTTCAGCAGTCTCAATGTGGGTGCCTAACAAAAGCAGTATGCATACATGTATTAATAAAATTTTCAATTAAATAGTTATAATTATTAAAAACTAGCTACTCTCGCGCGGTTTCACTGCTCTGCTCCATTTCATCGTAGCGTGATGTTTTTAGCCTATAGCACTCAGGAACATTGTAGCTACCTATCAGTGAAAGAATTTTCGTAATCCGACCAGCGGTTCCAAAGAATCCATACATACAAAGTTACAAACTTACAAATTTAACCTCTTTATAATATTTCTGCCAACACCACACCAAGGTAATAATATCTACAAGTATTTCAACTTCATAGAAACGGCCGAAATGCGAACTATACCTACGCGCCCGATGTCGGGACGCGCTCGGGACGCAGACAGACGCGGCTGTACCGCAGTGACGAACGGACGGTGTGTTGTCTTTTATTTAGAAATCAGCTCGAAGTACATTATTTAATATGACAAATAGGAAATATTGTGCAGTTGTGCTGTTATTATGTTTGGTTGCATGAATTCGTCAATAACGCATCCAGACATAAGTTTTTTTTTAAATTACCTGGAAACTCTGAAAGGTAAGACTATAAAATAATTTTACTTACTAGTAGCCTAGGTAGGTACCTACATAATGTGTGTCTTTATGGATCATTATTTCCAGTTATCTCACGAAAACAGATGTTTGAATTTATAAATAATATGAATAAAGTTATTGAGACGAGTGAAACAGGTAGTTATAGGCGGTTCTGGTTCTGAATGAATCATGATACGTTAGGTACCTACCTACTTACGCTTGTGTTAAAACGGTTCATGTATGTTTTGTTAGTTTGTATAATTCAAAGTAGAGAGTGTGGTATTTTATTATTAATAATATTTGTTTATTATCTGCGTTTATGAATAATACTAGAAAATATTTAATAACAACAATAAAACAGCTAGACTCATGTAATATTTGATGTTTGAGGGTTGTGATTTTAGAACATCCGTAGTCAGCTGTTCAGTTCGGCATTAGTGGCCAAAGAAATTTTGTTTGTTTATTTTTAAAGCACTTTATTTGTTTATATAAAAAAAAGGATATTTACAATCACAAAACTAAATGGAAACAGAAAGTAGACAAAGGTAATTAAAATACTGGAGACGAGCAGCCCTAACGCATGTTTACGTACCGCGCGGCTGTAGGTATTTATTTCTTTCAAGCGGCCGAGTTACAATACTGTATGATATTTATACTGTGACCACACCTTACCGATAGATAGGTGCACCAACCACCAACCATTGAATAATCATCACTACATAGTTTTCACACTTTCTCTGTCCATAAATCCCTATGTATGCTTAAATCTTAAAAACTACGCAACAGATTTTGATGCATTTAAGTATTACCACTGCAGCCATGCGAAGCTGGAATGGGTTGCTAGTTATTATTTAAATTGCCTTTACTTGGTCCAATTAGTATCGTTGATACCGCCCTCTGAAGTGAGAGCAAGCAAATAAATAATATAGTAATATTTTTTTTGACTAGACTGTAAAATATTATTAAAAGTTCTCGTCGTCTCTTTCTAGGTCCGTGAAGCAAAAGGACCAGTGGAGTTTGAAGGCGAGCCAGTCGCATATGAAGGTTCTCTGCCGGGCTCTGAGCTACCTGATGACGATCCTTCGCATGAGACCTGTGCTCGCGTGAGGCCGCTGCGACGAGAGACCTTCAAAAAGAGAAAACTGCTGCAAATGCATAATTTACATATCGCTACACAGAAGGCTGCGCGGCCGTCAGATATCAAGTTAGTCATTATATGTAACTGAGCTTAGTATTCTAGTCATTAAGTACTTGACACAATTATCTAAGATGTTTTTGAGGTCGCAGTATGAGAATATTCGTTTAAATATATACCTATTTTAAAATATAAGATATTTCTTTAATAAATATCAATTGTGGATATTTTATTCGAAATATTGCTTGATAGGTGCACCTGTGAACAAGGATTGGAGAGTTGTGCAGTGTGCACAGGTCGTGCTGAACCGACGCAGCCTGCCCCGCCCTTCAGCACAGTGCCACCTCGTCTGCGCATTGCCGCTGTCGACCCTGGTTTCCATCCTGTGCTTAGTGATATCAAAGGTACAAAATACACCAATTGAACTGATTTTATGAATATCATTAACCACTGTGTATCTGGTTCTCAAATTCTGTTACCTTATCGGTGCACCAACAGTGGGTGGCCTAAGGAAACATTAATTGTCTTGGCTTTTCAATACTTACAATAATATATATAATTGGTTTTTCTGAATAAAGCTAAATTGAGTAAATCTATATTTAAGTTTTGTATTTTGGTATGTTTGGAACTTTACACCAATTATCTGTTAAAGTAAGTATGGATAAACTGTAATTACGATATGTTGTTTCCAGATATGTCCCCGTCCTTGCATATGTCGGCGCTAACGAGCCGTGCGTGGTTCCGGCCCCGAGCGGGGCGTGCTTGGCGCGGGGCTCCGCCCCCGCAACAGTCGCAGGCCGCGTCCAGCTCGGGGCGCGCGCCCTCCTCCAACACGCACACGCCAAAGCCCCTCAAACGACATCCCACACGTAAGAAATCAAACTCGTTCGATCTTTTTCATGTCTACATCTTGCTGTCTGATTGATAGTCTTTGCCTTCAGAACCTTTGAAATGAATAATAATTAAACTTGAAATGATATTTCACATTATTAATCATTCCACATATTTATGTAAACAACTCTAAAAATTATTTATTAATTCATTTATATTATTGTTGACTTGCCAGTTTTGGCTTCTTCAAGCCAAACAATAAATGGTATAATAGGTTGTTGGGGAAGCTATATAAACATCGAAATATTTAAGAAACATTATTTCATGCAGCTTCAAACTTTAGTGATACATAAAATTATCTTTATCTTTCTTTATTTCAGGATTGAAAAGGGGTCGACCGCCGCTAACGAAAAAAGTAAAGGAGAGAGATAGAGATGAAGACACTCCTACATCAGGCCATGAAAGGTAATTATTATCTAGTTGATGAGTGCTATTGACACACAAGCTGCATACTGTTTCCACCAACTTAAAATTTTTGTTTAATAGGCTTTCCTATTGCTAGTTACTTAGTGGTTTTGTCTTGAATGAAATGTAAAATTTGGTATGATAAAGCTAAAATAAAAAAGTCTAATGTAGACTGCAGAGTTACAAAAATATGTTTGACTGAAGTAAGATAACTGTATTATATGTATATTAATAAAATATTGTATCAGATCCCGCGGCCGGTCGAGTACGGAGTCTCGTTCGTGGCGGCGACAGTCGTACGATATCGACAACATCGTCATACCACAGAGTGTTGCGGCCAACACTCGTCCTCAGATACTCACTTACAAGGAGATAATCACGCCCAAGTACGTATTAATAATTTTTGACTACATGTGTCTCTGTTTACTATAATAAAATTATATCTATATATGTAAAAATTAATCGCAACATGCGTTAGTTAAGAGCATAACTAACTCAACAACGCCTGGACCAATATCGGCATTTTTTTTTTTTTTTTGTTATATTTATTATTGACAGGAAGAGGTTCCTATCGTAGAAATATTGGAAAATTGGGAAAAGCCTTAAAATTGGCCCTTTCGTTGTTAGTGTGATAGTTAGACCCGTGCCAAGTAGGGGCGAGCCGATAGTAATTAATAAAATATAGCAATCGATTGAATTTGTAGTCTCTTGCTAGAAGTAACTGTTATAAAATTATTTTATCAGTGATAAAATAATTTGTGATAAAAATGTAATTATCACATTATTTACAGGTGGCGAGTCCTAGAGATCCCAGAGGCGCCTTTAAATAATGGCATTATGAAGACTAATCGCCAGATGTCCATTGAGAGTGAGGTGAGAATAATCTATAAATAGATGTTTATTACTGCAATTATTTTGTTGCCTTAGTAAGTCGCGAACTTTGCAAAGTGTAGGAGAAATATTATAATGATGTGGATGCAATTTGAAGGCTATGAGTATGTCAGGTATCAGTTTGGTACATGTGTGTATTGTGTGATTGTGTGTAGGAGGAGGACGTGTCTGAGGCGGCGGTATCACTGCGGCATCGGCGCGCCGAGAGCCGCGAGCGCGCGCGCTACGTCCGCAAGCGACGCGCGCGCCGCGACCAGCCCGAGCCGGCAGACGCGGCCGACGCGATCGACGCGATGAACCCGCCGCGCCCCCACGAGTCGCCGCCCGCCACGCCCGTACACGACCCGCCCCCGCCGCCGCGCCAGCCCACGCCGCCGCATCACGAGGCTAGTTCCTAATTTTATATTACTCACTCGCTTCTGCTAACCACTCCACTAACTTTTAAGTCTAGATTTGCCTATAAACATCATTTAACATAACAACCTCAATCTCTCTTGCTACTAGAATAGATTGGTAAAAAAATTGAAAGTTTTTCATAACATTTTTATATGACCATCTTTTTCATTAGAATATATAAATATGTACTGAAGTAACTAAATAAAGTTGTTACATATGTCATTACCTACTATCATATAACTACATGCGCTTGATTACTAACGATCACGCTTGACTAACGTTAACTTCGAATGTTACTCCAGACAGTGAGACCGTACACGCCGCGTCAGTTTCCGCTTGCGGAGGAGCAGTACCAAGACATGGTGGCGAGCATGCCGCACGGGTTCCACGCGAGTCGCTCGGCCACGCCGTCGCTGCCGTCGCCTGCGCCGCCCGACGCGCCCGATGCGCCTGACGCGGCCGACAGTGACTCCTCCAGTACGCTGTCGCCCGCAGAGCACAGCGTTTTCGACGGCGACGACCCGGACGACGCTGAGTGGGACCCGCATGCCGAGAGAGCTGAACGACGGAAATCCTCGTTTAGATGAATCACCACTCTACCACACCACCGGTAATACATTGTCTCAGAAGTCGCTTTTACTTCTGTCTAGCTCTGTAGCAGTAACTCCTCCAATCTGCCTCTAAAGATATTCTTAGCAGATAAGGGAGAAAAGCTTTAAAGGGCTGTTTGCCTACATAATATTAATTTAGTAATAAATATGTTTTAATTGCTGTCACATTTGTCCATGGATTTGTCCATGATAATAGACTGTGCTACTCCAAAGTTGGTCCATGTATACATCATAATCACATTTATGTAATACATTTCTTTGTAATTGGATGTTAGCAGGCACCATTATGTAATAGTAATTTATTTACTAATTGTTGAGAGCATTTGAAAATTGTTAATGTAACAGTTACCTCCAGTAAACAGTTTTATTGATGTGGATGGCTATGTGTATTCAGATCCAGTAGGTTATATTTTATTATAATGTAATTCAATAAGTGATTAAAAACATAGTAAAAGTAAGATCTAAATTTAATTAATTGGTCTAATATTAATGGAACCTTTTAAATTGACTTGTAATTACACAGCATTGCACATAAACACTACTGCTACTGGTAGTGCTTCAGTATTCTTGTCAAATTTTATGAAAAGGTGATGAAGTCAGTTCAAGACACAATCGTTATAAGTTTAAAAAAGAAGAGTGCCCGTTGTACAATATGAAAATGTGCAAGATGCACTTGCTTACAAAATTTATTGATGTTTATTGTATATGATTCTCACATTACGAGAAATGAGGTAATGTTGCTGACCACAAACCTTTAAAATAATATGAGTGTTGTTAAAAGATGTGTGAACTGATGTATAAAACAGTAGCTTTTGCAGTTTGCTGTTGCAAGTGAGCGTACCATAACATTCCCTTCAGTTCAAATAATGTTGTTGTACATGTTAAATTTAATTTAACGATATATATGCATTGCAAGATTTAAATACTGCTTGCTTAAAATTTTACGAGACAAGATTATTATGAATGTGTTCCCCTTACATTTTTGTCTACATTTAAGTTTGATGATAAAGCTTTTCTATTTTAATATTAATGCCCATTTATTGTCGCCAAGCGTTTGTAAATATTGACTAATATTACTCGGGCACTGATAGAAACTTATAGACTGGCTATAAAATAATTATTTGAATCTCTGTAAGAGTATGAATTTGATGTTTCAAGCCTTCAGTTTTGCTTCTTAGGAAATGTCTACTTTTAGTTAACATTTACCGTTGGTAAACATTCTTTTTGTCACACATAAAACACTGGTATATTTGAAAGAGGATTGTGTAAATAGTTTGGTCTATGAGACAGGAAATTGACTGAGTATATAACATAAGATAAGAGACTATTTCACTTAGTTTTCTGTCACCAGTAGTTATGAAACTCTTGTGGTTATAATAATGTTTATTTCAAATAATAATATTCTTGTAATTTATCAGAGTGTATGTTGTTAAGACTGCTTGGCTGATGGTATACATACATAATTTTATTGTGCAGGAGAATGTAAAATTTAATGAAGTTTGTTCAATTTTTTTGAGAAGCCAAAGTCTTCTGGTTATTTGTAATTAATTGAAGTAATGTAGTTAAGTTTTTTAAGGTGACTCTGTTCCAAAGAGTGGATTGAGAAATATAGAATTAAACAGTCAAATTGTGTTTTATTATAAATAATACAAACAAGTTAATGTGTATACTTTATTTTCACGAATACCAGCATACAAATAGTAAATGATGACTAGTATGCTTAAAAATTTCAACTACATGTAAAATTTAATCTACTCTCTAATATTCAACATTCAATTGGCTTACTTACATATTTTTAGAAAATATCGGTATAAACAAGGTTACAATTTTAAATTGAGTATTAATTAATAATAATAAAACATTGTATTAAAAAAAGAAATACAATATTGCATCTAAAAGTTGGATTTATAAAAACTTACAAAATATTCCCTAATATTTGTGGTATCATCAACTAATTTCCAAATGAGATTCTTTAGAACAAACAAAAAAAGTATATATTTGACCTCAATAAATTGAATATTCCGTAATATTTATGGTTTTATAGTCAAAGTAATAGAATTGCTTAGGGCCGAGATTTTCTTTTAACGAGATTCCCACTGGTCTTACCTCTCATTTTCCTTGGAGATTGATAAGTAATTATTACCTATGCACATGCCATCGTTTCTTCATCAACTATCACTAATTAAGTACACTGCAAATGCATAAGTCACGAAATCTTCAAACAAGTTACTCTGTTTTATAACCGAGCAAATGACGCAACCTAACAATACTGTACATAATAAACATGGCACTATTTATATAGCCCTGCACACACTTGCACCCATGAATATGGAATGTGCTTCACTGTATTTGCCTACTCAGCAAGTATGCACAAAGCATTAATATAATAAGAACTTAGGTTGTGTGTCTTGTTTGCACCTACTTACACAATAATCTAAATTATAATCACAAAATCGCTAATTAACATTATAATACTGTATAATAATCATGAATGGTTACAGCTACACAGCCTTCAACATTTCAAATAAATGCAATATGGAATGTTAAGTCAACATTATTCACCTACTCTTAACTCCTTACACATTTAAGTTTATCGCCTATAAATTATATACAAATGAACTAAAACATGAAGAAGGCTTAACTTAATTACTTTCTAAGCGATGTAATTGCAATCAAAACAGCGCGAGGTGTATCTTATTAATACTTGATTTTTACATCGACCGTAACTAAAACAATTACAAGTATGTATTCCATTTACTACAATTATATTAGAAATGGATAAAATGCAAAAATGTAGCATGATACTAAATATTTTTACGTCACGAAAGTTAAAAAACGCAAGTTAAGCGTATTGATTGAGTACATAGACACGATTCCCGCAAGACTACAGGGTAATAGTTAGTTAATATTCCTAGAGAGATCCTGTATGCGGCGAGCGTTGCACTCTCTGCAGTAGAGATGATCGTCGAGAGGGTAGCAGCCACGGCCCTCCTGCCTAGAGCAAAGTGAGGTCCCACAGTCCTCGCAGGCATAGCACGCGACATGGAAGCTCTTATCTAAGGCTACGATGCGAACGGTTTCCTCAGCGCCGCTCTCAGGAACGATCGGCTCACGGCAACGCGCGCAACGTGGTGCATATCTGTTAAGTAAGACAAGGAATGGTTACACATTGTAATTTGCAAATTTTTCTGTAAAGTTATTTCATCATCATCAGCCGCAAGCCGCTGTTGAACAAAATTTTTCACATCAAACTTCAACTCGCCAACTGCATCCATCAATCCCGGCGCCTCTGACGATGTCGTCAGTCCACCTAGTGGGAGGCCCGCCCACGCTACGCTTTCCTGTCCTTGGCCGCCACTTGAGTACTTTTTGAGCCCATCGACTGTCTGTCTGTTATTAATATTAGTTATAAAGCAAAAATATTGTTGCCCAGTGAAGGCAAATTGTACTTTTCCAGAATCAATGAAAGTAACAAATACAGAGTTTTATACTGCTGAAAAGGCAGTGAGATGTTACGTAGTGAATACAAGAACAAGGCTCACCTTTTATGAAAATCCTCAATACAGTGTATACGGTTGACTGCGTCTACTGTAAATGGTATTCCATCAAGACTCTTCTGACAGACTACACAAGTGAAGCAACGGGGGTGGTAAGGTTTGCCTGTCGCCCGCAGGATGCGGTCCAGGATAGGATCGCCACATACACAACATTTCTCTAAAGTATCCAAGTAGTCCCTTTCACACAATGCTCGCCCTTGCACTGCATAGAAGGGGCGACCCTGTTAACAAATATTACAATTACTAACATTAATTTTATTAGTGGTATGTGTTTTTGTAAACTTTCAAGTTCACAAACTTTTTTTTAAGAAAACTGAATCTTGCTTTCTTTGCGTAACCATTTTGTAAATTAAACAAAAGTGTGTAAAAACCTGAGTCAATACTTGTTCATAAAGCAAAGGAAATAGTATGAAGCCAGTTCCAATTAGATTGATACATCTAATAGAATCATGTGAGTCACCTGCTTTGTTGTCTGATTTTTATTAAAAATGGAGGGCTTTCTTAGATAAGTCTTTAATCTGACTACCTCCTAAATAAAGTCAAACAACAACACTCCTTTTTGGGCAGTCATGTAAAAATTTATTGTATACTTACTTGTAAGTTAATTCCACATTGCTGACAGCAGAAACATTTAATATGATAGATCCTTTCCATAGCAGTACAGCCAGTTGTTTCACCCATGATCTTCTCTCCGCATTTGTAGCAGTTACCACAATACAGTGCATCATCAGGTTCTGGAGTAGGCTCGACTGGTGCACCTACATAACCGCCATACAGAGACGTGCCAGACAGCTGACTGCATGGTCTAGGATTTATGGGCTCATACAGAGATTCATAAGTAGATGATGTCTGAGATCCTCCGTATGTAGAGAAATCCTGAGCATTAACAGACGCGGAAGATGGAGGATATGCGGAGCCGGGTCGCCGCAACTCACTGTAATTGGACTGTGCACCTAAATCGCTAATTCTAGATACCTCTGATCTAGTATCACGATCACCGTAAATACTGTCACCGCCGTAGGCATTGCGCTGCATCATAACATTGGAGTAGACATGGTTGGTGCCTCCAGGAGGCAAGACATTGCTGTATAGCAAAACATCACCACTGCGTACTCTAGCTGTGTTCCGCACGATGCAGCTCTTTACAGGGACCAAGTTTGAGTATGTAGAACTAGTGCGGCTACCATATTCTAGTCTAGATGAATAGGACGGTTCGCAGGCAGACTTCACCATACAACTTTGAGGTATTTGAGGCAGAGGAGCCTTATTTTTTTTGGGTGGAATTGAAGGTTTTTTCATAGCCGCGTTAATATCATCTTGAAGTTTTGCTTCCAATTCATTCGCATATATTCGTAGATCCGCTAATTGTTTGTCGAGTGTATTCATTTTATTAACTTACACAATACTGAAATACGAATCTTATTCACTAAATAGAAAGAAATCGTTACGCCCTGATTTATTGTTTGATGCGAAAATGACAGCTCCTTCTTGTTATTATCATCTGTGGGGGATGCTGCAGAGCTGCGGGTTTTGCGTTTTGTTACACGCATCATTCATATTTTTAAAAACATTATAAAATGATCTATAAAAATTATAAGAATACAAATACAATAAATTGACTATTTATGGTATTTGTGTTCTATATTTGTGTCTCTGAAAATGTAGAAAAATGTAGTAAACTAAGGAACGATGCATAATATAATAATGGTCTGAGCACTCATTGCCGATTTCAACATTGATCATGTATGGCCGTTTTATTTGAGGTTGATAAATCAAGTGAATTATCCTGTCCCAGATAGGGTGAAAGGTCAGATCTTACTTACGTAAAATCACCCTGTTTCTTGACCTGCTCCGGCACGAGGCCGAAGTACTTTACCGAGTTACCCTGCTTGGGTTGAAGACCATCGTGGAGTCTTGACGCTGCGCGTCTGCAACGTGTCCTAAGGTGTAGGTGATCTCTCAATTCATTGTGCGGGGCGATAGGAAATGGGAAGTTGTCGAGTCGGACGAAGTAGGAGTCGTCTATCTGTGAAGCAATCGGGTGAGGAAACTATCCTCATCTTACCCCATTACCCCAGCCGCCGCAGGAGACGACGCGACGGCGAGGAAAGGTAGCTTGCCGCTGGACCAGAACCAGACCTGACCATAAGGTGTTCCACGCGGGGCATAAGAGCCATCAAACCGGCACAGATCGGGTCCACAAAGGCCGAGGTAAAGCTCCGGCACAGCCCCGCTGCAAGAAGTAAAGTATTAGTATTATTTTTATATGATAGGCCGGCAAACCAGCTTTCGGATTACCGGATGGTAAGCAATGAGCACCACCCATGGACGCCCGCAACGAGGTAACGGAGTAACGAGTGCGTTGACGTTCTTTTATGGCTTTGGGATTTGGAGACTTAATTTATTTGGATTGGGGGAGGGGAGAGGGAGGAGAAGGATTGGGCCTCTGGTGGCCTCATTCACGCGGCGAAATACAACACTGTGGTTGTTTCACGCCGGTTTTCCTGTGAGGCCGTGGTATCACTCCGGTCGAGCCGACCCATTCGTGTCCTCCCACATTAGAATTTTATTATTTGAAACCTATAATTGATTTGCAAATTTAACTAGAATTTTTTTTATTACATGTCGTTAACACTAGACCAATTAGGTTGCTTTTAATGGTACTGTTCGTTATAGTTTCATATTATTTATCGACAATGGCGAGCTGCATAACGTTTGCTATTTTGATTGCTCTAAAGGTTAATAGTTCCCAAATAAAATATTATGTTTTGATATTCAAAACTTAGTGTTCTACGTAGGGTCGCATTAATCCAGTCAAGAGCCCCTTTGCATTGCGATTGTAATTAAGCGATTTTGAGATGTTTTCAATGGGGGTTTCCGTGACCCCTAGGCAGTTGCCTACTCTGCCTATTGGTTCATCTCAGTTATAAGCTTTAAATTATTATAAAGTGAACTATATTTTTCTTTGCGGGACATTCATCAACCTCTTACCCTAGACGGTGCGAGAGGGAGTGTTAGACCCTTACTGACTAAAAACCGACTCTTTTCTACTCCTACTCCATGCCAAGGCCATGGTACATCAGGTACCATCGTAATTAAGGCCAAAATTAATACCTATCTCTATGTAAATATTTTGGATTGAGTTCTTTGATTGATTTAAGGGTCAGTTGCTTATTTTAAACATTTTTTTTGCAGTTTGCTGCTGTGTTCTCGGACGATGATGAAGGTAAGAAAGGCAGCTACAATTTGAATATTACTAAGGCACTGGCTGGTAAGAGATAGGATACACCGTATCTATCACTAACCCCGACATGCTTTTGCCTACCTTTGCTAGGTAAATATGGAATATTTTAACTTTGCAGATAAACTACCAGGAGACGGAACACAGGAAGAAGAAGTAAGGAGAAATCTTATAAAACTTACAAACAAATGTTGATATTTTTTCGTTCTTTATTTTCATTTTTGTAAAATTTCTTTCAGTGGCACATGGATTTTATGCCTGTGAGTACTTCTAGAGTAACATTAGTAATCGCAATTAGGGACATTCTTATAAACAGTTACTTATATTCTTATATGTTTCATCTTCAGACTGGGTATCTTCCTGATAGTGTATACAGAGAACTAGCGTGGTACGGTATCCTACAAATTCAGCCTCTCCACCACAGCTCTAAATACAAAGTAGCTGCTCAACTGATATGGCAGCATACTTTGGGGCGACCACACGTCATCATGGAAAATCCGCCACAGGTAACAAATGGTATTAGATAACGAAGTACCTTTTTGTAACTAAAACACTTCGGTACATTTAATACTAACCTTTGCCACTTCAGTGTCTACATTGGTACCTGGCCTATTAAGTTGGTGCCTGGCGAAATATTATAATTATGACCAAGTGTTTTGCCCGCGACTTTTCCAGCTTCAAAGTTCTGTTACCGGAATAAAAAATATCCCTTATCCTTTTGGGCCTTCAATATTATTATTAAGGGTACTATCAAATGTAACCTTTTTGTAATAATATTTACACTACGGAGCACCCTACACAATGACTTCGTGAACGAGTTATATTTTAGTCTTTTATATTTTACTAGCTTTCCGAATATTGACTCCCTGAAGATTTTTGGTTTAAAAATTATCCTATGTCCTTTCTCGAGTTCCAAACTATGTCTGTACCAAACACACAAATCGATTCAGTAAGGTTAGGCGTGAAGAAAAGACAGACAGTAAAATTTGTTTGGATGTATCCATAGATTTATACCTTAATTACTTTCGTATGTGTACCAATTATCGGCATACTAAGTAATGTAATTGAAAATACCTATATGATGGATGATTAATATTTTCTTTTAAAGTCCACCCAAAGCCCAGGGAAGGTAAGTCGTCAGATTTTGGCTGAAGAGGCAGCGAAATGGTCTCGCGAACAGCGTGCGGTACAGGAAGTCTTCATGGAGAACATTAAAACTGGAGGCAACGGCATCACAGTCAGGACTGTGGTCTCTAGCACTAAAAAGTCTGTTTATATTATACAAAATGGTAAGTCTAATCACATACCTAATTTCCTTAAATCAAATCAAATCAAAATCATTTATTCCAACTAAACCATAAATAGGTACTTTTGAATCGTCAAAATAGAATAGTAGTCTGTCAGTCTGTTCGTCAGTGAAGCTAGGTGCTCGTTCCAAATTGTAGTTTCGAATGGAGAAGAACGAGCAAGAAACTCCATAATTTCAATTATATCCTTAATTTCAATTATGAGTAATGAATACTTTCTTCATCTTATACTATTCGTATGACAACGTAACGACCTTTAGTGGAACCGTATTGTTGGTGATGGAAGATGGTATGCATCAAACTGATGAAGTATCCGAGATAGCATTAACTTTTCAAACACTGCTAAAAACCGGTAGAACAGACAGGCCTACAGTTATTTGGTAGTGTCACCATTTTTGAATAATGGAATAACTTTACTGTATTATACTGTAAGGTCCGGGAATACATCGTCATCTATAGTCTTATTGAAAATCAAAGCCAGCCTGATACGTCGCTAAAGTTAGGATAAGTGATCCGCTGACATTTACCGATAGTTCCCAAAGTTCCTCAGATGATTTGACCTTAATTTCTTCAAAAACCTTTATTATTTCTAAAGTCATAATTGTATGATTTGTCATTTTTCCTAAGCCAGTTTAAGTGTGGGAGAGCCATGCTTCGGCACGAATGGATCGGCTCGGCCGGAGTGATACCACGGCCTCACAGAAAACCGGCGTGAAACAACCACAACGTTGTGTTTCGCCGTGTGAGTGAGGTTACCGGAGGCCCAATCCTTCCCCTACCCCAATCCCTTCCCAGTCCCAAAATGCCAATCCTTAAAATGTCGGCAACGCACTCGTAACTCCTTCTTTGTTGCGGGTGTCCATGGGAGACGCCGATTGCTTACCATCAGGTAATCCGTCTGCTCCTTTGCCGTCCTATCACATAAAAAAAAGCCAAGTTGCGAATAGTTTTGCTGACAATTCCAAATGAGCAGTTATTATGATAGATATATTAGCAAAAAACGTCTCAAACTCTCGAGCTACATCTGTGCTTGACGAAATCTGTCCCCTTTCAGTGTTTTATAATCATTAGAAAAAGTTTATTTATCGTAGGAAGATATTACCAGTGCCCACCTAATTCGGAACCGGATCTTGACGACTATCGAAAACAACCTAACTTGCACGACCGAAGGTGTACATTTGGGCAAAATTCCGAAGAAGTTCCACTGGACCCTTGCATAGAAGCTGAAGTAGCCCCCATAGAGTACTCATTTAATGAAGGATGGATGTTCTGTCTCGGCAACGGAGACAGAGAGAATAATTACTTCCAAAATGGTACATTGGATTGTGGAAATAAGACTAAGGTAAAATTATAGTTTTTCTCAGGTTTTTTTTCATAACATTCGATACAACTGATCATATGATGTCATTAACGGAATGAGAGGCAATGCTACTCTTACGTTTTACTAGTTATTTTACATTACCATGTAATAGGAGATGTGTCGATAACCATAAATGCTGCAAAATAATAGAAGTTGTCCTTAAAAAAACGAAAATCGAAATTAAAAATATCCGGCATTACTTTCCCGAACCCGAGACCTCTTCACAGACTTTATATAATTAACTAACGTCTACAAATTATTTTTATGAACATCCACCAAATTACAACATGGAGGAAAAAATTCGTACCTACGTTACTGTTTTTATTTATGATATTACAAATATTATCTACAATACCTACACATACTTATAAAAGAGAATAAAATATACAAAAAAAATAATATAAAATTTACTTAATAGTAGAGACACTTTTACACACAATTTTTATCTGTATTGACATTTCAGATTGCTGTGAGTAAATTTTTAGATGAATGCGCAATCGACAATAACATTGTGATCACATTCGAATATTTCGGTGATGAACCCCGTAAAGATGTTTTGCGTAATGCCACTTTGTGCACTACCTGGGATCCTTGCCGATTATCTTATCTGTACCGACTTGAGGTGAGGTTCCACAGTATCATCATAATTACCAGTCTACATATCTCACTGCTATAAAAACACATCATAAAATCGCATCATCAGCCTATCCTGCTCACTGCTGAGCAAAGCCCTCCTCTCACAAGGAGAAGGTTTAAGCATTAATAACCACGTTTGCTCATGACGATTTCAAACTTACTTGATATTATGAGCCTAGCTATAATTCCATACGATTTTTCCTTCACTGGTGTGCCAGTTGTGTCTAAATAATTTTAGACAGTGGGTACATTAACCCCCTAGGCCGACAGCGCACTTTGTAACTTTAAACTGTTCTTGTTGCAAAAGCAGGGTTTTTAAACATATTTAGTCTAACTTGCCATGTATTTTCTAGCCACCTCCAGTAGGTTTGATGCCCGCGTTCCCAACAACAACGAGTAATCCTTGCGAATCTACTGTTTGTCCAGAATGTTTGGAAGAAAATGCTGATGATTTAGGCGTTGAAATACCACGTAAGTTACTTTACTACTAACTAGCTGCTCTAGCATAAATCATGATACTAATTGAGTGGCAAACCACGCTGTTCCTTCCCCTGGGGCTACGAGAGGGCCTCTCTTGGAGTAGTGGATTGAGAGATGCCACGGCGACCTCACCTTCCGCCTGACGCAGGTCCTTACCGGACACGCCAGCTTCGGTAGATCCCTGTTTCGGATCCGGCGGGAGGAAACGCCCGAGTGTCGTCTTTGTGAAGACCACACAGAGGACACGGTGAAGCATACGGTGGCGGTGTGCCCTGCTGTTTGGGCTGAGCACCGCCGTGTCCTCGGGAAGTAATTGGCGGCGGCGTCCTCTCGCGGAGAAGAGCGGTGAAACATGGTCAGTGTTTCCACTGAAGCGGAGCTGGGTGAAGAAGATCGGAGCTGGGCGGAGAGGAGCCGAGCTGGGCAGAGAGGAGCGGAGCTGGGCAGAGAGGAGCGGAGCTGGGCGGAGTAGAGCGGAGTGGAGCATACTTTTGGAATCGCGCATTTTTGCATTTAGTTAACACTCAATCTCTCGGAAAGACCATACGTCATGTTGTCGCTTAAAAAGAAAAAAGCAATCATTTTATATCTTTCTCTACTTGAAGACGAAGATAACGAATCTGATGAAATAGCATTGACTGTTGCGACTTTTTTGGATTCGAAGAGAAAACATGGATTCTGGATTCGACAACATATGTATTAAGTACCTACCATTCTGTGCATGGAGAATTTTCAATTTTTTTTAGACGTGGCATGACGAAATGTTCGAAACTTCGTATCAAGAAAACATTTCTTCCCCGCTTCGCACCGCCCCGTTCCGTACCGCCCCGATTTCCTCCGCTCTGCACCCCAATGGTCGCTGTACTCCGCACTGCACAGCTTCGATGTATGAATATCCGCTCAGCTTTGCTCCACCCCGCTTGTACTGTTTCCATTGAAGCGGAGTGGAGATTTCAAGCATAATTTGTGTTCCGCTAAGCTCCTCTCGCCCAGCTCCGCGTCAGTGGAAACGCGGCCTTAGCCACCACTCCCTCCGGCCGCTGCCTCGAATCTTGCGGGCAGCGGAGTGGCAGCGGCAGCGACGCGGAAGCGGAGCGGCAGCGGCAGCGACGCGGAAGCGGAGCGGGCATCGCAGACCCGTTCTCGAAACTAGCGGGCGGATCGCGCGTCACCGCTTATTGTTGTGTTAATTACCTATTGTGTCTTCGACAGATTTTCCTTTAATTCGCGAACGAAATATCTTAACAATGGCGGAAACATCTTTTTGATTCAAATTTATTCCTAACGCTCGATTTATTGTGAACGCTGGCGGTCACGCCTCGACTAAAGTACACCGCTCGCTGCCCGCGTCCGTCTCGCTGCCGCGCCGCTGTATTCGAGGGCCGGTCCATTTGATTATACGCGTAAGTACCTGCCGCCCCCGCCCCGCTGCTCGCGGGATTCGAGGCAGAGGCCTCCTACCCGACCCAGGGCGGGAGAAGTCATTTGATGATTTTCCCTTCAGAAAAAAGTGTAGATTATTTATTGTGTAACTCTTCCTTTGGTTTACGTATAAACACATGCTTTTTATATGTTTGTTTACAGAAGGAGAAATTGATGGTGGCGTTGAGTCCATCCCCGAAGACTGATACTGGGATGAAGAATATGCAGGAAAACAAGATGATTAAAATAAAAATTATATTATGTACTGTGGATGATTTGATTTCAAAATAATTAAATAATTTGCCTTTTCCCCTTAAAATACTTTATATTGTAGTAAAAATAAAGTTCAATAGGTACCTCGTAGTTTTAAGTTGGTTGAGCCAAGTTTGAGTCGCTTCGACAGGAGTGATACCACGGCCTCACAGAAAACCTGTATGAAACTACTAGGGCGTTATGTTTGGACGTGCGAGTGAGGTTACCAGAGGCCAATCCTTCCCATCCCTAAATCTACGAAATCATAATCCCCAAATGGCCAGCATGGCTCTCGTAACTCCTCGGTGTTGGGAGTGTCTCGTTTGCAGCTTAATCACATAAATATATAATAAAAACATTTATCCTCGTGTTTGCTCAAAATTATCATTTACTTTTAAAAGTTTATGGATAAAAACAATAAATGCATCAAACATTTTTTTAAATTAACGTGTAGTTTTCATAATTTCGTACTAAGTACTCTAATACTTTTATAGGCGACTTATGTCAATTGGCAATGTCACAGATGACAATTGACATTTCATAGTTTGAAGACTTTGAGGTTATCCAGCAGTGTCACATTACAGCATGTTTTTGTTGTATTTACAAAATAAAAGCTCAATTATATTAAAATGGTTGCTTTAAGTGCTTTTGAAGATATTAAAGCAGACTTACAAGAGATAGAGAAACTTAGTTTACCAGAATTTAAGCAGACTCCTCTGAAAGTTTGCTACACTAATGATAACGTAAGTTTACTTTATTGTTTGTTACTTAATATTTTCACAATAAAATATAGTAATATGTCATCGGAAAGCTTACAATATGGTGATTTTATTATAGAATACTGAAACTACATACGATGGATCGGGACCTCCATTACCATTTGCTGCCAGCAAGATATACGATGCAGATATTCTAACATGGAAACGACTTACCGCAGCGAATGAAGACTGTAAGGCAGTTTATGAAATAACTCTCGATGTTGAAGTATGTGTTATAGTTGATATCTTACTTGTTAAGTAAATAGTCTGCCCATTTTAAATGTTTATTCAAACTGATTTCTCCCATTACTTTCACAGAATAAAAATATCGGTATCCTTACTAAACTCCTTTGTCTATTATGTTATTTATTAATCATTTGAAATTTAAGAACAATACTTATGTATAAAATATGAATTTCAGGACAGCAATTTCACATTCAAGGCTGATGATACAGTAGGCATTACACCTCAGAATGATGACTCAGACATTTGTTTCATTGTGAATCACCTCAATTTAGCCTCCACAGTAGACCTGCCTTACTCTATCATCATAGAATCTAATATAAAAGGAAGTAAGCTTCCCATACACATTCCTGTAAAGTCTACATTGAGGCATGTATTGACGTACTGTGTGGAACTAAGGAGTCTCTTGAAAAAGGTATGGTTTTAATGTGCACTTACATTTAGCTGGCTCAATATGAATTTGAATCCTTTACTTTCTTATGAACCATTTCATTCTTCAAAGAATCCTTTCAATTAATTCAAGACACAATAGAATAACAATAGGTGTATTAAAAACTGGCTTTCACTTAAGAACAAGGCTAAGTCATGATGCTTAAAAAGTTTTAAAAATTATTATAACTTTCGTGAGACATTCTAAATTATTTATTATGTTTTCGGCTTACTCACGTAATAATTTGACGAGATACTCGACTAGTTTCACCGCCTACCGGCGTGTCGCGGAATGCTGCTCATGAATATGGGCCTCTAGCATGGCTTGAAACTAGTCGAGTATCTCGTCAAATTATTACGTGAGTAAGCCGAAAACATAATAAATAATTTTTAAAAATTAGTTTATTCATTAAAATATCCTAGTTTTAATACAGCAAAAATTCAAGAAAGATTTTCAAATTGTAGTTTCAAATATATACTTGTGATGATACATTATGTTAGAACATTTTAGTGTAATCAGAACTTTATATGTTGCATCTTCTATTCCAGGCTTTCCTTTTAGCTTTATCTAGATACACCAAGGATGATGAAGAAAGAAAGATTCTTGAATATTTATGCAGTAAAGAAGGTTCAGCAGCATACACCAATCATGTTCTAAACAAAAGACTTTGTATACTGGATATATTTAGTATATTCAAAACATGTAAACCTCCTATTGAGGTTTTACTGGGAAATCTACCGAGGCTACTGCCAAGACCTTATTCTATAGTTAATAGTGGTTTAAAGAATAATAAAGTGATGAAAATTTGCTTCTCGGTGATGACCAGCAACAACCGAAAAGGACTCACAACTGGGTGGCTAGAGAGACTAATATTGAATAGAGAAGCAACACTAGAAAATGGATTTAAAAATATGAGCATTTCTATAGAATCTCAGAATAAACAAAAAGTCTCAATATATCTTAGGAAAAATTTCAGCATGTTTTGTTTACCAGAAAACTTAGAAAAACCACTGATTCTAATTGGGCCAGGCACTGGAGTATCACCTTTTATTGGGTTCTTAGAGGAAAGAGAATTTTTAAAGGAAACCAATCAGGATATACAGTTTGGTGATATTTACTTATACTTTGGATGCAGAAATCCAAAATTAGATTTTATTTATGAAGAACAATTGAACAATTATTTGACAAGAGGGACATTGAATAAACTTTTTACTGCATTTTCCAGAGTTAATTCTGAAAAAAAGTACATTCAGGTATGTCTCCATTACATTACTAACTCATAAGACTCTTTAATTAATTGCAATAGGAACAATTCAGATCCAGATCTAGATGATCTGAGCAGTAATATTAGATGAATACATTTATAAAAATATATTTGAAGTTGACATACCTTGATGATGAACTCCCTATTACATTTATATTAAAAACATGTTAAATATGGTTTGTTAGGGTAAGAAAATTCGATCTCCGGCCACTGTAAGCGCGGGTCTGCGGACGGCGAGTAAGAGTAGCCCGCCGCATAACCAAAACCAGACCCGAGCGTACAGCGTTGTTGATGTTCAGCCGAGGTTGCGGGGCAAGCGCAATTAGGCATCGCAGCCTCGGCCCAGAACAGGAGAAGGAACGGGGGGTTTTTAGTCAGTAAGAGTCTGACACTCTCTCTCGCCTTACCCTGGGAGGGAGAAGTCGTTTGATGATTTTCCCCTGACAAAAGAAAGGGGTAAGAAAATTGAATATTATCTTTATTCTTTCAGGATGCTTTAACTGAAAGTGGAAAGGAAGTCGTCAAACTCATCAAGGAAGGTGCACATGTCTACATTTGTGGAGATTTAAATACAATGGCTGTGGAAGTCAAGGAAATATTAATTAACTGTTTAGTAGAACATGGGGACATGACCTTAGAAGAAGCTAAGGCGAAGATATCTTATATGCAGAAAGAACACCAATATGTAGTTGATGCTTGGAGTTAATATAAATACAGCTATTATGTAGCACAATGTTAAAGTAATATATTTATTTGTAAATATGTATGTAACGATTTTAAGTTGAACTTTATTAAATATTTTATTTATATCCAGTTTATTTAGATGTCTCTCACTGTTATATGTAAATATGTAATATACATAAAATCACGCCGAAAGGGTAAGCTGAGATGCACAAATTGTTTTTGTATGCGATTCTAGGGAATAGATAAAATTAAAAACATGAAGTATTTTAGAAAAATAATTTAATAGGCAAATTATATTAATAAAATGTTCAAAAAAGTGTCCTTTGTGTATATAAACTTACAATAATAGCGTAGCGTCAATACATATTGCTGCACTATATGAGACGAGTCTGGCGTTACTAGCAGTTAGAGCGTACAATGCCGGGTCTGGGCGAGCGAGGCAACAGCTCGGTCGCCAGTCGCCAATGATCTCGATTTACTAAGTACCTCGACGTTGATTACATAAGTGGACGATCTTTTATACGTAGGTAGTATTGCCACCACAATGCATTGTACTTTCTGTGTACAAAATTCCCACAATTACTTCTATACAAATTATAATTTAAAATGATTCATCAAAGTAACGAGACTGTATCTTCACATAGAACAGCATGCACACGATTCTTCGTTGTGTCGATGAAAATGCTTAAATACTAGTCCGTAAAAGTACATCTAAACTACAGTATAAAGCAGGCACTCATGGCAGAGATATTATTAGGTATAAACTGATGCCTCCCATAAGCTAAGACGGATCAATTGTATGTCGTCTTAAAAACAAACATAAGATACTGACATAATACTAAAACAATCTCAAAATACATTTTGTCCTTTTGAAGCGTAATGACAGTTTATTGCACTTGAAAGTGAAAACGATGATAGAAAAATATCAATGAACACGATCCAAAGTTTTAATATCACTCGGGGAGTTTAAGCTGTTACAAATTGCCTTTATTCATATACACACTAATATTCTTATGAGTATAACTCTAAGGTGTATTGAAGGTTTAATACATGGAAAATGCTCACGTAAAACTGTTGAAAATGGCAACACATTGCTATGTATACTGACCAACAATCAAAATATAATTATAGAGAAAGATAGTATAAAACAATTGAACACTATAGAAATTAGCAAACAAATTATCCTACAATACACCACATAGAAATAGCACAACATATTTGCAATACACATAATAATAGCACTAAACATTTCCTTATTTACCATGACCAGACTATTTTTTAAATTCGCATAGAAACGTATGCTGTAACTTTAACATAATAAAGTTCATTTTTTATTAAACATAAAGTTTGAGCACAAGTAAATTGGCTGAAATTGTTAGGAAATTATTCCAATGTCTAATGGAGGCAATGTCCCAGGTATAGGACAATGAGGAATACAACCTAATGTTCGATGAAGGAATACACTTTATATAATGTTAGTTGACACGCCGCCGGAGAGTACTGTCCGTCCTATTGTGCTCTCATTAGTATTTAATATATTTCTAAACAATGGCTAATACTATTCTTTCAAAATGCAGTACTGTAATACAGTCTTAATTTTTTGTTGTTAGTTTTATAATGTAAAGTAGAATATATAATACTTTTTCCACGGAATACATTTTCATAAGATGTACGAGAATGGTACAGGAATGTGACAACGCTTCCTAAACTGTTGCATTTGGTTGAACCGGTATAATATATAATTATAAAAAATAACATTGCAAATGATTACGACTAGCTAAAAAGTTATTTTATGTATGTACATTTTTGGTAATAGCCTAACTGTGCACCAATCACTTATTTTATCAAAAAGTACTTTACAAATAAACCGTATTTGTGTGGCCACTGCAACTCGATTGCAATTAATATAAAGTATCAATATAAAAATCTTAACTATGATTTGTAGTTTAAAAAAAATATTCCATTTCATTGCTCTGTTATATGTTAGTTGGTACAGTGGCCAGCGTCATAATGACATCTATCATAAAACTGCACGATTTCCAAAAACCTATATAATACCTATGCGTCCAAAATGTTACCAAAACTGTTTCCTTACAATATAAAAATACTTAATTTGGACAGATTACATTCTTATTATTAAGTAACTAAAAATCCTAAGCCAATTAGCCTAAAACTTGTAAAATCAATTTGTATTGCATAATTATGGCATTTTCTTGTACAAAAATTAAAGATTTCATACGTAACCCTCGAACATTTCATTAGGGGAACACTTAAGTGTGATGTGTGAATATCTATATCAGTTGGAGATACGGTATCTATACGAGTCTACAGATAAGACAAAAGCTATAGGTACGCGCTTAGTGCTGTCGAAATTAATATCTTGCGATTTTATTCTACATGCGTACAACGAAAAATGTATAGCTCTATCTAGGAAAAACTAAGCTAATACAGAATGCTTTCCGTTCTCCGTTATGTGCGCTTAAATCCTTTTTTAATTAAACGTTGTTAAAATGACGCCTTCTGGCGTATATTGTCCATTAGTCGTAACCTTGTAAATACTATGCAAAACTTGGCACTTCATAACAGTCATTTCATTACATTCATAAAGAGCATACAAAATTGTAAAAGGCTATAAAAGTGAAATACACGTAGAAATGAAGAAGGAATGAAACAGTTACCAGTCTCAGTCGTGGTTCTTGCGGTGCACGTTGTGCGCGGCCTTGATGAGGGGCGTTAGTGTCCTCAGCTCCATGGCACAATCAAGGAACGGATGCCTTAGGAGCTCGTCTGCCGCGGCTCGTAAATCTACATCTACTTGTAAACATTTGTCTAGGAAGTCCTGGAAGTGTGGTGTTAACTTTTCCCACCTAGGGATTTTCGGCCGCCCTACTGCAGCGATTAGATATAAAGCCCGCAACGGGGATTCTTTCATGTAAGGAGGTTCACCTTCAATCATTTCGATCCCCATAATACCTAGCGACCACACATCAACCTTTTTACCATACTGCTTCCTGGTGACGACTTCAGGTGCCATCCAGTAAGGCGTGCCAACCATAGTTTGTCGTTTTTCGTCGCCTACAATGTTCGCGCAGAATCCAAAGTCTGTGACTTTGACAGTGCCGTCCATACCGAGCAGGACGTTGTCAGACTTAATATCCCTGTGTATTGTTCCTTTGGAGTGCAGGAAGGCAATGGCCTGAAGTGTCTCACGACACACGGCAGCTATCTGGCCTTCCTTCATTACAACTTCAGTCACGACGTAGTTGAGGGACCCTCCGTCGAGCAATTCCATTGCGACCCACAGGTGATCGTAACTAAGGAACGCGTCTAAGAAATTGACCAGATTCTTGTGGTTGAATCCCTTCAACACGTTAATTTCATTGAGTATTAGTTCCTTCTTGCTTTGCTTGGTGAGGTCGATATCCTTGATGGCAACTTTGGAGTTGTCCTTGCTGTCTATCGCGACGAACACCACACCTGTGAACAACATTGTACCACTTAGTTAATTAGAAAGAAATGCAATAGCTTGCTTAGTGCGCGAGGGTGTGTGTGAGGTGTGGCAATAATTTTCAGTTTTTATGGGGAAGTTTAACTTTACATTTTTTAAACTTTTAGCTTTTAGTGGTGCATTTTTATGTTCATGGTGTATTGTGAGATATAAATGAAAAAATCTTTTTTGTGGCGATGACATCTACTGTTTTTCTTTTTTACTAGCTATTCTCGCGTGGTGTCACCCGCTGCTGCTGCTGATTCTACAGATTGTAGCGTGAGAGTTTATAGCCTTTAGCCTTCCTGGATAAATGGACTAATAAACACGAAAATATTCGATTAGCTCGAATTGTGCAAATAATTTTAGTATAGATACACAAGTTTCTGGCTATTCCCATTTAAATCCAGAATATTATTTAATTACGCTACACTAGGCGATATTGTCTGTCTTTCCATTTCGGGATAGAATGTAAAGATTTGCATTGGACACACACGAACATGCTACATACGATTATAATTTCAACCATTAAATTTTTGTGTTTGCGCTTTGTTAACTGTTATAGGAAAACTAAACTCAAAAGCCAGTTTTAGTCTTAAATGGTGTTTTTTTTTTTCATTCTTGAGTTAATTATATTTTTGCCGTTTCTAAGGCCAGATACTCTCAAGGTGGTGGCTAATGATATTGCGATGAAGTTGTATTACCTGAAATTAATTCCCATATAATATTTCGTCCCCCTTTTAAGCCACATGCTGGATTTACAATGAACATTATTGTTACATTCTAGCTTTCTACCTTTGAAAATTCCGAATACAAACTTCCATCCCCCATTTTAGCAAACTATGGGTTAGAAAGAGACGAAAATCTATTCTATCTCATCCCTTTCAATATGAAATCCTTTCGATATGAAAAATTCATTTCATTTCGTTCCTCCCTTGGCGTGAATGACAGACCAACTCAAACAAATGAGAAAGTGAAAGTAATATGTATATGAAAATTTATATATTAAAAAACTTCAAGACAACATTTTGGATTGAAAAGAAATTGCAAAGCTATCAACAATAAAAATAAAATAGCATTTTCCAAATAAAAATACATATAATGGAGCTCATTATATGTTGAGTTTGGGAACAGAAAACTAAAATATATAAATAAACATAATTTACTCATTCAAACAGATATCATACTTAATCAATTCAAAAAGAAGTCAACTGATAAGATTGTAAAATTCTTGGTTGTTATGTAAAGATTTTGTGTGATATTCAATGTCACATTAATCACAGTTAATATCATAGAAGGCTATTAATCCTTACTGGTATGTTTTTTACTAATTAGGTATAGTGCAATATCACTGAGAAAAAAATCGACTATGTTAGGAAGAAACTTCTAGAAGAGTAATATGTCGCGAGTATTTTTGTCTATAAACAGTTATCAGATAATTCAAACAATAGTCTTTTATCAATCACCAGATTATTGTGTTGACTGATGAAATATATTCCACATCATCTTTTCAGGTTTAATTCCTATTAGTTTGTTATTACAGGTTTTATTAAGCAAGTATGTATATTGTAATTATTATAAAAAATCTAATGAAAGTCTCATTTATTTATTTATTACATTGTAGTACATTATTGACTCATTGCTTAGGTACAATATTGATTTGTAAACTTTTCATTTGTCATTATTTTTTTTAGTACATCCCTATTTTTGTGTGTTGAATGAATGATGTGAATTATATTAAAAGAGCATACAAGGAAAATTCTATTAATATCCCAGTAATATTATAAATGTGAAAGTTTGTGACAATGTATGTTTGTTATTTTTGTACTCAAAAATGGCTGGGCAAATTTGGTTGAAATTTGGTATGCAGATTGCTGGTACCATGGATTAACAAAGAGGCTAGTTTTAATCAAAACACTAATTATGAACCAGGCTGAAGCTAGTTAAGCAAATGTAAGGTGTGATTTAAAAATTATGGACATATATTTAAAACATTAATCAGCATTTTTGATGCAATTCTAATACAATAACTATCAACATAAAGGAAGCTAGTCAGCAATTTATTTAACACAACATTGTGAATATTGTCACAACTCACAAATATAACAATTTTGATCAAAGATAAGACAGAATTAATATATGTTTTTGGATGAGGATTCAATGTTGAGGAAAAAAACATAGCATATTTATTTGAGTGCTGTAAAACTAAAGTAAATGATTGAAAAAGCATGTGATGCATTTGAATGTGGATTTGTGTGAAAGAAAAAAAGAGTCTTTTACAGGAGAATTGAAAATAGCACAAAAGCCATTGTGCCCACTGCAAGCAATTATGGAAATTATAAACCAATAATAGAAGTGGTTATGGAAAAGTACCTGGAGTTCACTTGCTACTAGGAAAAGTATCTAGATACATGAACCTTACACATAAATTAATTGATGGACCTTGAAGTGTGACCAAAGCAAGGCAACCTCTTTTGTTTTGTAATAACTTAAACACAATAACATGTCATTACGAAATCTGCATAGAGGTTAAAACACTATTACTACTATTACTTCATTCATGTAACTTTATTTACATTAATAAATATATAAAATACTTTTTGTTGAAATACCTACATGAATAGGCTTGCTACATAGTCACAATAAACAATGTTAAAGATTGATACACTACAGATACAATAACAAAAGATTTGTCTTTTGTTTATAAATCATACAGCTTACTATAATAATAGCTGTATACCAAAACTATTTTACTAAATGGTCTCATATTTCATTTTAATCTATATTATTAAAAAGAGGTAAAATTAAAAGTTTTTATGTTGGGGGTAATCATAATCAAATCAGTGGAACCTTTGGTTTGCATTTCCAAAATTATTTCACAGATAGATAGCTACTGTTCCTAAGTGCTATTGGCTACTAAAAACATCACCCTGTAACTAACAGGAGTCGAGCAACGAGTGAAACCGTGTGGCAGTAGCTAGTAAATAATATAAAAATACATAAATTACTAGTAAAACAGAACATAAAATAAAGATGGTGACTATATATTTTGGTCGTACATAAACATGATTGTTGTTGACATGTATAAATCTCCTCAATTTTGCCACTTATTCTCTGGCCAATTAACAGATTAGTGTCAATTGGTCACTGAATGCTAGCTGTATGCTTAATGCTCTTAACCTCGTTTGTGATCAGAAGGCAATGTTAATAGGATTTATTTATATTGTGCTACTTAGTTATTATAATATCCAAATAAATTAGTTATAATATGATTATAGCAGGTTAATTCACAATGATAATCCTATATGAGAATGATTGGATCAAAAGCAAGGTTAAATTATGTTTATTTATCTCAAATTATGGCATAGATAACTATAAAAGGGTTTTACTTGAATTTTAGCACTATCTGTAACATATTTTATTGTGACTTACCTGATGCACCAGCCCCCAGCTGCTTGATTCTCTCAAACCGTACATAAGGATCATCCTTGTTGCATATCTTCCGCAGCTCTTCATATATCTCTTCATCAGTCAGTGTCGCATATCTCAGCTCTTTCTTCCGCAATATTGGGCTTTCCTCAGGGTCATTACCAATCAGAGTTAAGTCCTCCACCACAGCTGTCAAGTCCATCATCGCATCTTTCTTCTTCAAGTTGTGTTTCATGGGAGCGGCAGGCATGGTTTGCCTCTGAGAGTAAATGTCATTAGTGCTGACCTCCTCCTCACTGCTTTGACCGATTGACAGGTCTGACTCCTGACTTTGGTGTGCATTCTTATGATCTAGCAACTTCTCTATTTCTTTATTTTCTTCAGTAATTGCCTCGTCAGTAAGGAAAGGCTTGAAAGGCTCGTCGGGTGCTTTCTCCTTTTTGATTGTGTACATATGGAACTTGACAGCCTGAATGGCTGCATCTGGGTTTTCATTTTGTTCGGCGGGTGTAATCTGTGTGTTCAACAATCGCAACCAGGACGTTGGTAATCCTTCCAACATACCAGTTTCTGAGTTCTTACTAACATGAATGTGTTGTTTCACGTCTGTAGGCATACCAATATCAGTCACTCGCTCTTCTCTCTCTCTGGGAGTCTTTTTAGAGAAGAGTTTTCCAAACACACCACGGCTCGATCGCCCACTCATTTTGATTGATAACTGATTGTCCACTAACAATTAAGCCATATCACTGTCACGTATTTCAAACACAAAACCTGCATCGCTTGTAAGACACTTATTAGCAAAGGCGGAATTTGGATTTGGCTATGATAGGAGTGGCTTCAACACGGACGGATCCTTGGGACGGCGGCCACTTTATCATCTGTCAAATGTCGTGAAGAAAAATGGAGAGAAAATATAAAGTACGTTCCTTTTCACGATTGTCGATGAAGAGAAATCGAAGATTCTATGAAAAGAAAAATATTTATTTTTATCTTAGTTGATAATAAAATACAAAATAATGAACATTATTAAATTTGTATATGATAAATACTTTATATTGTGTAAATGAACAACAATTGAAAACTGAAACTTAAATTCCATGTTCCACAGTTGCTATTACTGCGTGGAAAGGAACATAGTGATCGTGCGGCTATACATTGGTAGGCCTGGCGTATCGCTGCTGATAAATAGGAATTTTCGATGATTCATTGTCCATCCGTAAGGCGTGAGGACCGAGTTGTATTATTGAATCTTTTGCGACATTTGAATATAGCGATAACAATACATTTATAGATAATGCTTGATATTTTATGAAGTATATTTAGAAGAGGAAAATGTATGGGTTACTGGGTGGATTAGGGCCTGGGCCTTTGGTAAAGGGTTTTGGTACTTAGGTGTTTACTACCTAAGATTTCTTAAACAGGTGCCTGTAATTTTATTCTAAGTTAACATGAAGATTAATAAATATTTGAAAATCTCCATCCACTCATCCAGAGTGTTAAAACAGAATATTTAAATAGACCTACAGAGAGGGAGGTCCGGAGGTCGGTTATATTGGTGAATTTCTACCCCCTTTGAGGTGGTAAAAATCATTAAAGGACTTCTCTCGCCCTGGACTGGGTGTCGCAAGAGGGATAGCCAGACTTTTACTGGTTAAAAACTAACCCATTCTTTCACCATGCACTTTACACGGCTCGCCCCCCGGTTGATGGGCGCCGCTGCTGCTTTGTCGCGCTTGCTGCCCAACCAGGGGGGGCCCATCTACTCCTCCCGGAGGCTCTACATGGGGGTCGTACGGTCGATGGCGTTATACGCCGCGCCAGTGTGGGCGGGAGCCCTGACTGCTCGCAACATCGCTGCGCTGCGAAGGCCACAGCGCGCGATGGCCGTCAGGATAATAAGGGGATACCGTACGATCTCCTTTGAGGCAGCGAGCCTCCTAGCCGGATCCCCGCCCTGGGACCTCGACGCAAAGCTCCTCGCGTCACTCTATTGGTGGCGTGCGGAGGCAGTCGAGCGGGGCGAGCGCCTGGTGCCTCGACAGGTTGAGGCACGCAGGGCAGAACTCCGCCAGGCCTTAGTGGCGGAGTGGCAGACGCGTTTAGCGCAACCCACGGCGGGGCACGCCGCTATAGCGGCGGTAAGGCCAATTCTACAGGAGTGGCTCAATAGGAGCCACGGCGCCCTCAGCTTCCTTCCTTTCCTCAGCCGCCTTACCATCTGGCGGGACAATACCCGTCGGGGGGTTGCGACGAATGCTTCGGCGATACCCGCCCCTCCGACACATGGGTTATTGGAGGAACACCGGGTTGGTTTTTAGTCAGTAAGAGTCTGACAGTACCCTTCGCCCTTACCCCGAGGGCGGTGGGTCTCCATGAGGATTTTCCAACCCGACACCAAAAAAAAAAAAAAAATTCTTTCACCTGCCAGCCAGGTCCGGGGCCGCGTATAACGGAACCCCTTCAAATCTAACTTTCGACCTTGGCGATGGATATGCAACTGGGTGGGTGGTTTCTTGATAAACATACAAATAAACATATGTATTATAGAACATACAAGAAAATAAGGCAGCACATTTTATTTTTATAATTTTAATTCAGATAGTGCGCAGTGTGTGATCCTAATAGAACACTTTATAATTAAATCTAGACTTTAGTAGAGAGTTTCTAAATATGTAGAATATCTTTCCACAGGTGGAAATTAATTTACGAAGATGGACTATTCTCTTGTGTCTCACTATTTTCGATAACTTTCAAGCTCACGGTGACAGGAGCTAAAGGATTTTCATTTTCTTCAATAGATGTTTCTTGTGCGCTCAATACTCTTGCCCAGGGTTCTGGCAAGCCTTCCAAACGTCCCGTTTCTTTGTTTTTGGTCACATGGATATGCTGTTTCATGTCCGTAGGCATACCTATGTCGACAGTCCTTAGCTTCTTTTTCAAAAACAATTTATGCCACAAGCTTCCCATTTTGTTTTATAAATAAGTATATCTATTAGGTATAGAAATTCTATTGTAGGTATACCTATTAACTTTTTAAGACATAACACTTTGATCATAACACTATGTTTGGTGCACTGTTTCGAGGCAAATTAATATTTTTATAGTTTTTTTTAATCTGTTGTAAGTATAAGTCATACGGTAACAATTTCAGATTTTTCATTGAATTTCCTAGAAGTTATACAGATTCCGATTCACGCGTATGTACTTGCGGTAATAATCTATTTTTAACAGAAAACTATACATTCCCTCCGCCAATACTTAGGTACCTTGGTATATGTAGATTAAATAATCCTTAAATAATCAACTCGTTACTTTTTAAATAACTAAAGAAAATCATTTTACAAGACATGTTTTTATAATAATGATGCATCAATTAATTAATCATAACTTACGTGAATTGGATCGTATAGTTATTTATTTACTTATTAATTGAGTATTATATTCTCGTTAACTATATAATACCTAGATACATATACCTAATAACCATATACCATATAAAACATACACTTTTTCCTTGTTTGAATTTCAGGCAAATCACCGTTTAATAACTGGCTGGAAACATACGTAGCTATATCCAACATTGATACCAACCTACTTAGATCAGTCTTTGTGTTCTGAATGCATAGGTTTTTATGTCATTGGTCGTTAAATGAGCAGACGGATTACCTGATGGTAAGCAATCAGCGTCGCCCATGGACACTCTTACTTAATACCAAAGGAGTTACTACAAGTGCATTGCCGGTCTCTTGTGGGTTATTAGGGATTTAAGGATAGGGGATTTGAGGTTTGATTTGCCAGACTTCGTGGCAAGGTAAATAATGAGACTGTAGATGGTTAAGGTCTGTTTATTACTTTAATTGCTGGTGCTTATATACTAAGAAGATGCGTGAGATTTTCAGATTTAGCTATCCTAACAAACGTGCAACCATTAACATGTGTGTCTTATCTCTATCGTATCTAAGTAATGTAGCGACGTGATCGTGCCGCTACATATACTCCCCCCTTTTAAAAATAATTAACATATAAATTGAAAAAAATTAGTATGTACCTAATTATATAATAACTTAACCTTGCTGATAAATTACATCCTATGCGTAATGTAATGTCATTGTTGCTAATTCGAAGGAAATAAAAACTGCTGCCTTTGTTGTGACGGCGGCGGCAGTCGATGAACTATCCACTGCATTTGTGCTGATTGTTTCTGCTGATTGAAAATTTTAAATTCTTGTTATTACGAAGTCGTAATAATTCTTGGTCATCATGCTGACATCTTGCTAAATCAGCATAATTAATCGGTGATGGCACATCAATTTGTTCTATCCGTGACAATGCGTCTGCTACAATATTGTCACGTCCTTCTATATGTTGAATGTTGGTACAATATTGTGAAATAAAATCCAGTTGTCGTATTCGCCGTGGCGTATCATTAGATGACGGTTTTTGGGAAAATGCGTAAGTCAAAGGTCGATGATCTGTAAAGATAGTAAATTCTCTTCCTTCGACTAACCTTTGAAAATGTTTGACTGCCATATATATTCCGAGCAACTCTCTGTCGAATGTCGAGTATTTTTGTTGAGTATCACTTAATTTCTTTGAAAAGAATCCTAATGGTTCCCAATTACGTCCTGACTTCTGCTGCAGAACTGCGCCAACACAGGTCGAACTGGCGTCCGTCATAAGTGCCAAAGGGGCGGTGCGAGAGGGGTGAACTGTTAATACTGCGTTCCTTATATTTTCCTTGGTCCTTTAGTGATAATATGATGCTTAATCTTGTGTTTTGGAGTAGTGTGGAGGGATGCTGGTTTCGTAATATCCTCGTATTCATTTAATAGTTGAGTAATGCGTGGATTCGTCTCAATGTTAATAGTGCGGATTGTTTGCTGCGTCGATTTGATCAGGGTTGCGGGCGTTGTCAGCTCAGTTACCCTATCTATGAGTTTTCGACCAGCTATATCGACTAATAGCTTATAATGCTCTAAAAAAAATCTGCTCCAATAATCGGTTGTGTTACATCGGCGATGACAAAGTTCCATACAAAGTTTCTTCGTAGCCCGAAGTTTAAAGAGAGTGTTTTTTCACCATATGTCTTAATTTTTGTACCATTGGCGGCATAAAGTATACATTGTTCATCTTGTATTAGTGAATGTCTCTGTGGCTTGCTAATAACTGAAATATTTGCTCCCGTGTCAATCAAAAATCTCATACCACTTTTTCGGTCGGTAATAGTGAGGCGGTTGGACGGGTGAATAGCACAGAGTTCCGCCGTTGTCCGTGCTTCAATTAGTTTCCCTGTTTCCTTGAGTTGAGATCCTGTTTCCAATCACAAGGTTGAACACACTTTTGTGCATATTTTTTAAATCTTCCATGGTAAAAACAAAAGTGCCTTCTTTCTCTTGAACTTGACTGTGGTAGGAAATGCCGACGATTGGAATAACTTTGAGTGCTGCGTCGATAGTTTTTTTGACCTTGCTGAATTGCATTTAGTTCCAATTGCATTTCTGCTAACTGTGCTAGTATGCATGACATTGTATCGTCGCCAGATTTGTTTCCATTTACAGCTGACACCTCTGTACGTGTTGAATTTATTAATATCTTGTCCGCGATCTGGCTCATCTTGTTCACATCTATGTCTTCTGTGACTGCTAGAACCGAAGTCCCTGATGGTGGCAGAAGCCTCAACCATAGAAGTTTGATGGTTTCGTCGCTGATATTTCCGTTACTCAGGGTCCGCATCTTGCGCAGAAGATGTGATGGTTTCTGGTCGCCGAGATCCATTTCAGACAATAATTTTTGGAGCTGACGTTGGTCTGATTCCTCATAGCAACTGATTAGGCGTTCTTTGATAGCCTTGTACTTTTCTATTGGCGGTGGGCAAGTAATGAGGTCACTAACCTGTATTATTTCTTCTTTTGGCAGTTTTGCAATGACCGTATAGTACTTGTAATCGTCTCCTTGCTTCTGTGGTGCTACTATGGCTTCTAGTTGCTTAAACCATAATCTGGGTTGGTCCCTCCAAAATTCCGGTTCCGGCTGATATCTCCAAGGCTTCTTGTTGGCTGCTGCTTGATTTGCAGGGTGAATGAGTCATGTTGATTGTTCTTCGTCGGGGTCACCAATTTGCCAGACTTCGTGGCAAGGTAAATAATGAGACTGTAGATGGTTAAGGTCTGTTTATTACTTTAATTGCTGGTGCTTATATACTAAGAAGATGCGTGAGATTTTCAGATTTAGCTATCCTAACAAACGTGCAACCATTAACATGTGTGTCTTATCTCTATCGTATCTAAGTAATGTAGCGACGTGATCGTGCCGCTACATTTGACAATAGGAAAAAGGGGGGAAGCCTCAAGAAACCTTATTCTGAGTCTTGCTTTACGTCGGTTTTGTTTGAGGCCGTGATATCACACCGTTCGAGCTGGTCTATTTGTGACGAAGCATATACCTGTATATAGCTCTCACACACTGTTTAAAAAACGTTATTCCTTGACTTTGTGGCATCAGTGTCTATGCAAGTACAGTTGAACTTTAATGTCTAGAGCAGTGGGCTGTCTGGGTAGGCATGAATCTTAGCACAAAAGTCTTGACACTGAAGGGTCAATGGCCAATGATAATTTCAATTTATTCTCGTCAACAAGTGTAGGCAGTAAACTGCTTTTATTCCACTAACTGGCCACTTGTACGAGTCTAAATGAAGGATTTTATGCGATATAAAACGAGTAATGATTGAATTAAATTAATTGTTTCCGAATCTATGAAAGATATTTTTGGTTGTAAAAAGGATTCATATAATTCAAGGATAATAAAGATAACGCTACGCTTTTTGATGTTCTAAAATCCTGAATTGGTTTCACCTTAGTTCTACATGGGAGACGAAGTCACAAAAAGTAAACACTTTCTGATATTACTGACTAGCTACTCCCGCGCGGTTTCACCCGCTACTCTGCTCCTTCAGATCATAACGTGATGTTTTATAGCCTTTAAGCCTTCCCCGATAAATGGATTAACAAACACAAAAAGATTGTTCAATTCCAACCAGTAGTACCGGAGATTAGCGCGGTCAAACAAACAAACAAACTTTATAGTTTTATAACATAAAAGTATAGTAAGTACCTATAGATTAGGCGAACAGGACCCGAATAAGCCAGTGCTATGGTCAATCGGTGTAGGTGGTGAACTTAATGTGTAAACTAAATCATGGTATGTCTTTTTTAATTTACTTTATTACCAAGCTATACCTACATACAATTTTTAGACAACTTAGATACAATATAAGTACATTTAATTAATTAGTTAAGCTAATGACCAAAATACTAAAATTTTAAAAAGTGTGAATATGCTTCAAACTAATAACCACCTTAATACTACTATAACTAATAACCAGCTTAATCAGATCATCAGGGGGGGGGGGGTAACCATGACGTTCAAAGTAAGTTGGTTTTAATAAGGTTTTAAATAATCTTACTTCAGTGTTGATAAGAGAAAGAGCTATACAAGTTGTCAGCTCTGTCTCTGTTAGCCCCCAGTCTATAAGTGCTTACTGCTCGGTAAAGACCTCTTCTTACAAGGAGAAGGTTTGAGCATAAATCAATTCAAACTTACTGTTAGAGTTATAAGTCCAGTACCTATTCATATTCATTTAATCATTTGCAAACATGGGTACATTATATTGAAAACATGGGTACATATAGATGTCAACAGAGTTTAGTTTTTATGTAAGTAATAGGTCGGCAAACGAGCAGACGGATTACCTGATGGTAAGCAATCAGCGCCGCCCATGGACACTCGCAACGGAGGAGTTACGAGTGCGTTGCCGACCTTTTAGGGATTAGGGATTTGGAGATTTAGGGATTGAGGAGGGATTGGGGAAGGGGAAGGATTGGGCCTAAGGTTTCTCCATATTTTGCCACCTACCTATTTCAGTTAAGATTAAAAAATATTTAGAAAGAAAAAAATATAAAAAAATATATATATATAAGTTGGATAAGTCACATTGGTAGGTACTTGTCAAGTTTCGAACTCGAAATCTTAGGCTTAGATCCGGAGGTTAAGATGATGAGCAAGCTTTTCGGGCGTTTAACCCGCACTCTCATGCATGAGAAGTGGTCGTCTTGACCTCCGGGCTACCACGACACGCTAGTGTTACAATTACTATGTCAATTATAAGTATGTCAGCTATACTTGTGTGTTTGGTTAAATATTTTTAATACTTAATCACAAATCCACAGGTAGATTTAATCGGTTCGGCAATGTGCGTTCGCTTTCCTCAATTTCACATGTCATGTCGCTCGTATAGGCAAGTAATGAAGGAAAATAATGATAAAATAGCTCAACTGACTGATATAGTGATGGATAATGCGTGTAGGTACCTAATCTCTCGATATTTTTATCGACTTTAATTGACATTTAGGAAAATGGTATCGACTATGAGTGTGTAGAAACTGAGATAGATACAGATTGTAGAACAAGAGTTTTTAATTGTCATGTCAAGGTAAAAGTGGGTACGATCCCCGGCTGGACGGCAAGCGAGCGTAGTCCGTTGCACGACCAGAGCCAGACTTGAACGTAGGTGAGGCGCGTCGTATTCCGCGCATACCTCAAAGTGCCATTAGACCACCAAAGATGGGGCCCTGTACTGCTTCGGCACGAATGGGCCGGCTCAACCAGATTAATACCACATCATCATCATCATCAGCCTATAAGTGGCCACTGCTGAGCAAAGGCCCCTTCTCACACGGAGAAGGTTAGAGCATTAATCACCACGCTTGCTCAATGCGGGTTGGCGATTTCAAACTTATAATTAGAAATTATAAGTCCAGGTTTCCTCACGATGTTTACCTTCACCGTTTGTCAGTTTTGACTAAATAATCATAGAAAGTACATATAACTCGGAAAAAGTCACATTGGTACTTGCCAGGTTTCGAACCCACACTGCCTCATTCATGAGAAGCGGGCGCATTTACCTCCGGGCCACCACCACATCACATTGATACCACAATACACAAGCCGGCTGCACAGAAAACAGGCGTAAAGCAATATTTACGCTGTGTTTCGCCCTAACCTCTATTCTTAAATCCATTATCCGTAAATCCCTAACAACCCACAAGACGACGGCAAGGCAGTACTTCTTTGGTATTGCGAGTGTCTATATACCACCAGGTAATCCGTCTGCTCGTTTGCCAAGATATGACATAAGAATTAAAAACCTGAATTTATAAATGAATGCCATTGCTACGTTAGTAGTCCTGTCATTCAATCCTGTGATGCTCATCAACGACGATGAGCTTGTCAAGGCTTCGTTCGTAAGCAGACAGTAAGGTTGCAAACCTTGACCTAGAATACATTTCGGAGAATATGTGGAGTAACTGCATAAGTTTAATTAATAACTTACCCGCAGATATACGAAATGCTATAACAAAAAGTAATATAAAAATTAAACTAAAGTCTTACTTTCTGCAGCTTTTGGAATACTGATATTAGATTGGGAATATAGTTACCAATATCCCAAATGTAATGTACCTACATATGTAAATAAGAAAATATTCCTTGTTAATAAAATTTAACCTATATCTAACAATCTTGATGTAAACTAGTAGTAGCATTAATTACAAACTTCAGTAGTTTATGAATGCTATGTACACCTATTCATGTTTTTGTTTTTTAAATGGTAATTAATAAAAAATAAGTTGATTTCTCTAGTCCTATCCATCTTTGTACCACCATATAAGTACAAAGTACAGTTTATTGATGTCAACCGCGCGCGCAGTCAGCAGTTCCAAACTGACTCAAACATTAAGTGTTAATATTAACATTATTGTAAAGTTAGTTAACGTTCGGTCACCAACCAAGCCGCGTTTGCTCATACCATTAACCATTACCATTTTAACCAATAAGTATACCATATTTTACCATGCAAGTTTCTACTATTTATTTGTTGGATTTACGCCCAACAATATAAACGGCACATCGTCATCGCATTAAGTTAGGTATCCTATTAAAACAAACAAAGTAATTCGCCTAAAAGTTTTTATTTAAACTCCTTAGGAGTACATTTTTTTGTAGATTCTGTGTTCCTCGAGTGTTTAACTTGGGTGTCTTCAAGACCCAATTTGCGTAAGGACGTGCTCCATAGTAGGCTCAGACAAAGAACCAACATAAGGCGTGTTAGCCCTAGCTACTAGGTGACATTTAAGATCACTGATACTTCGTATAACTTCATAAAATTTAGACCACGAAGCTATTTCAAAGATTGATACAAACTAGTCTTTAATCAAAATTTTATTTATAGTAGTTATATTTGGTTTTTTGTTACACACTTTTAACGTCCCTATTATCCATATAGAGTGTATACCTGTGTCCCAATTTTAACTTTTATCCTATAGATCTGCGTAATGTCGTTCATAGTCCATGCACGTGTTGTGTGCTAATTGGTTTATCGTAACTTTCACGGAAGGAAACTAAAAAATCTATATGCATTTAGTTTTACCATATTTTTACTACCTTAAGGAACATTTTGCTCTGTTTTTGGTGAAGTTAAAAGTTTGTTTTGTAACCCTTCAGCGTTTGTTTTTGATTTCCAGAAGGATTAGGGATGAGTTAGTGTTATTACCTCGATACAATTTTATCGATAGTTTTCGTCGTGTTGTGTAGTTTTATTTATTGCACCTATTTTTAATTTATTATTTAATAGGTAAGTTTCATTTTGGTAATTTGGAGCATGCGTGGGTCGTTGATTTACTTATAACGTTTTTCAAAGTTTCAGTTAATTAATGGAAGTGTGATTATATTAAGGTATTGGCGTGCAGGCTCAATACTTAATACATTTATTTGTCAAAGAACATAATTACAGAACCTTACAGAGAAGCTTAACCAAATTAGGTAACAACACCAAAGGAGTCACGAGTGTGTTGCCGGCCTTTTAGGGATAAGGGTTTTGGATAGTTAAGGATTACGAAGGGATGGGGGAGGGTGAGGGATTGGGCGTCACTCCAGTCCACTGAGTATCACTCCAGTCGAGCGACCCATTCGTGCTGAAGCTTGGCCCTCCCACACTTACTGCCAACAGAGGTTACTGGAGACTACCTAAATCTCCAAACCCTAATCCCTAAAAGGACGGCAACGTACCCGCAACTCCTCCGTTGCTTACCATCAGGTAATCCGTCAGCTCGTTTGCCATCCTATCGCATAAAATAAAATACGACGTTCACTTCATCTCGTTACATTTGAGATAGAAAGTCTCATCACAATGTTTCCGTATTATATGTACTTACTTACAGAGTATTTATGACAATTACTTTTGTATAATAGTACGAAGATAATCGTGTCATAATTAAATTGTGGGTCGATAAAAAAACATTTTAGAGCGGGGGAATATCAAATTCCATTCTCTTGTCCTGCCAAAGTCGAAGTCAATTATTCCAAATAAACCATAAATAAATATTTTTGAAAAGTCATTTAAGTCGAGCAATAAACTCAATAGTTTGGTTTTCAAAAAAAAAAAAAAAATCAAAAACTGTTCCAGTGTGGGGCAGCGAAAAATGATTGCGATTGGCTGCAAACAAATTGGAGGTTTTTTTTACATGTTCGTAAGTCAGCCCTCTCTGACTTTTTAAAGTAATTGATTGTTTGATGTATTTAACTTTAATAGACACGTGATTGTATAACCTGACTAGACTAATGAAGCCCCAATTAAGCCAAATAGCCTATAATTAAATACCTATATTGTTGTCTAAGGCTTCTAATTCAAGCACTTACATCACCTGGCTAGAAGCTAGCAGTGACATCTTGGTGGTTGTTCTAATAGAAAGCACGTGTTTCGTGCACCGGAATAATCAAATGAGTTATAGGTCTAGAATACTGGCTATTGTTGGCTAAATGGATGGGAGTTATGGAAGTTAGTGAGTTATTGATACTTGTTGTTCACACCATCGATGTCTGCGCTCAGCAAGTGATACATTAAAATGTGGCTAACTAGGCACACTTTTTCATATTTTGTCTCTTTTTCACTCGCGATTATTTAATCATGCCATCCCACTTTAACGTGTATCATACGATTTATTCATGAGTGCATAAGTGCGCCGTTTTTGAAAATCGAATGTTGTATAAGTAACCTATCTATACCATTTTACTTATAATATAATTGTGACTACACATTCAGACTTTATGCTTTTACTGAGCAATGAAAAAAAAAATATTTTTTTGCATTCCACGCCATATTCATGATCCTTAAGATTTAAATATTTGGCAATATTTGTAAGCACACCACCTCTTTTTACAACAAGTCATTTATAATACAGGCTGCACGAATGTGGAACGCTTTACCTGTGGAAGTGCTTCGTGCTCAGACATTATCTCAGTTTAAAAGACTTGTGAAAGAGTATTAGCTAGCACTATAGACTTCTGTTTCACTCACTCACTTACTCGTACACACAAACACACACACACACACAATATATTTATACACATTTCTTTATCTTTATAATATAATATTATATCTTCTGTATGTAGTACTTGTTTTAACCGTACACTGCACTACTCATGGTCAAACTTCTTTTATACATTTCCATCTAAAGGTTGTCTGGAAGAAATCATCTTGTGTGATAAGACCGCCCATTGTAATCACAACATTCGGTTATAGTATCCAATGTATTGCTACTTGGTGTATGTGTGCAATAAAGTATATATAAATAAATAAATATTTGTTTACATTATTTTCATATCATCATATATTTGCGTAAAATATTGCTTTTGCTTAGTAAAAGTTAAACCAAACAATTAGGCAGAGTTACCGATACTTATAATAATATAGGTGACGGACTGACGGCAAAGTTTGACCGCATGTTTCAATACAACGTAACAGATATTATTTTAACGTATCGAATAACTGATACTGCGCTGTAATTGTGATTAATAAACTCGGTCATTATTGTGAGGATGCCTGGATACATTTAGTATTTAATGTATGAGTTATTAAGTGCATTAAATTGGTTTCACGAAAAGCCATCCATTGTTAGATAAATTTATACTTTATAATATACATAAAACATTATACTAGCGACTGTTACAAAATTTCCCCATATTTAATGAATGAATGTTATTATACAAGTGTGGGAGAGCCATGTGTCGACCGGAGTGATACAACTGCCTCACAGAAAACCAGCGTGAAACAACCACAGCGTTGTGTTTGGCCGTGTGAGAGAGGTTACCGTAGGCCCAATCCTTCCCCAATCCTTAAATCTCCAAAATCCTAATCCCTAAAAGGTCCTCCATGGGCGGCGCTTATTGCTTACCATCAGGTAATCCGTCTGCTCATTTACCGACCTATTACATAAAAAAAAACACATAAACCTTCCTTTTAAATAAGTCTACTATTAAAAAAGTCGCATCAAAATCCGTTGCGTAGTTTTGAAGATTTAAGCATACATAGGGATATAGGAACAGAGAAAACGACTTCGTTTTATATTATGTAGTTACCTTATATTTAAAATGTGTTATGAACCATATGGCAAATGATATTGGGACAATGACCTCAAGCAAATCCGTAAATGCAAGGATACTAGATGTTGTCACACCTCTAAAATTAGCAGCATACTGTTATTAATGTATCATCAAATAATAATGATATCCGACACGATCAGTAAACAGATATAGATGATAACACCAATATTTTCCAATGTGTCACTGGCAAACGATAAATTCGAAAGAATTACTTTGAAAAAGGAACACGTCATATTCGATTTTGTTTTAGCTATCGATAAAAATGGACATCACTATGGAAATTTAAAAACTTGAAAGTAAGTTTTTGTTTGTAAAGTCCAGTCAAAACTGAAGGCGTGATCTGAGACGGTATGGTAAACAATTCTTTCTCTGGCTGACGCTGAGTTATTTTTAGGTCAATAGCTTTTGAATTCGCTCATCGTTCGTTGTTGGACCAATGAAAATATACGGCGTTATGCGTGAGTGCGTCAAGAACTAGGAGTTAATTAATTTTCATCCGATCAGGCACGGATGTGATCGAGGTTTTATTATTTTTATGTTTGAATTATCTGTTTGCGAAGATATCTTGCTCAATTAGGATGTGTGTTTAGCCAGGTACGATGTTTGCAAGATCTTGATCGTTGGTCGGTTTTAATTCCCCGTTAGATTTTTACTTATGTCTAAATTCGTACCAGTTTCGGTTTAGTAGTGATTTGTGTGTGTTTGAACTAAGTTTTCTTCATATGTATACACTGTCTAATTTTTGAAAAAGGATGGCGTACTTTCTTTCTCTCGGCCTTATCTTTATCTTGTGGAAAATAAACACAGCCGAGAAAAACCTGTTTGTGTGATAACAAAGACTGATTAGAATTTGAAGTTTGGTTTGGATTTTTCGTGTTCCTTTTGTTTTAAAGACTGTATTTATGTGACATTAGTGATCTTTAAAATAAGATGTGTAATTAAGTAATTGTGTCTGATTTTCGCGTACAGTAGAGAAGTGCTTGAACATTTTACTGATAATGTTTTTCTGAAATTATCGTGAGTATTTTTATATACCTATTTATAAAACTATACATATACTTACTAAAATACGTATCTATTAAAGTTTATTAAGTAACAAGTTATGAAGCGAATTACTTATGTATTTCAAAGATTACGTAGTCGAAGATACAGGTCGCAGAAGAGCTAATGGTGAGCAATCAGCGCCGCCCATGGACACTCGCTACACCAAAGGAGTTACGGGTCTATTGCCGATCTTCTAGTTGTAAAGGTTTCGGTTATTTAAAGTTTGGGATGGGATTGCTCACACACACGGCGAAACACAACGCCCCGATTTTCTGTGAGGTGGTGATGTCATTCTAGTCAAGCCGACCCATTCGTGCCGAAGCTTGACTCTCGAACAGGAGGCTAGATCAGGAAAGTATTTACTTCCTGACTCCGTTTTTCGGCAGTTTTCGTAACAAATAGTGACATCTGGAATTAGGGTTTGAATTTGAATATCTTTTTAATTTTAGATGTTGTTTGTTATGGCTCATGTGCGCATATCTTTTATCAATCTATTTGTTAGGATGTAGGTACTTATGTACGTAAATATTATGTAAATGTATATAGGAGATAGTGTATAATGGAAAGTACATCAGATCGAAAACATGGGCTCAACTTATCAGGAATGCAGCTGTGGATTACCACGATCAGGAGATAAAATAGTTCAGTCAGATTATTTTTCTATATTATACTTACATGTTTATTTCGATACTACATTTATGTACAATCTACTAAAATGAAAACCTTCAATGAAATTTGAAAATTGTAGTTTTTTAGTAATAAGATAACATTGATTCAGTGTTTTTTTTTGCATGGTAATGGTAGTATAAATATAGGTACCAATGGACCTCTAATTCGATTTTCATTTTTGGTGTCACATCTTAAGTATGTCGATTGACGAAAAATTTCAGGAAATTAAATTAAGAAATTTAATTAAAAAAAGTTGTATACCCTACCTACTGTTTTAATCGTGTACAAATTCTCCAATAATTTACAATACCGATACACATAAAATCTTAACAACGTGAAGCAACTCCAATACTTGCCAAAAATTAAACAATTTAATAGAAAAAAGTATCTTCCTACTCAAAATATGAGAATCTTAAAGCTTCTTAAATAACTGAAAAAGCGTGGATAAAGAAGCACTCGAGCAATTAAAATACTTAAAATTTCACACTTAACTGCTGGAGCTGTTTCTAAGTAAAAAGCGCTACAAATTGATTTTATCGATGACTCAAATTCGAAGATTAAGTTTATGTTCATACCATTTTTTTAACTTCTTCTGACTGTTAAAACATAGTAGGAACTCAAAGCACCACATAGCCACTATATGGTATAAAACAAAGTCGCTTTCTCTGCCTCTATATCCCTATGTAGGATCTATCTTTAAAACTGCGCAACGGATTTTGATGCGGTTTGTTTCAATAGATAGAGTGATTGAAGAAGAATGTTTATAATTGTGTATCAAGCATTTATTAAATAGTAAATTTTAGTATGAACATTGGAACTGTGTGAAACCGGGGCGTGTCGCTAGTCCAAACTTAATATTATTATATAAATGCGAAAGTAACTCTGTCTGTCTGGCTTTTCTTCACGCCTAAACTACTTAGCCGATTTCTGTGTTTGGTACAGACATAGTTTGGAACTCGAGAATGG